TATGGGGGTGGAGACCACTCAAACTGCATCTAAGTTCTGGAGTGCTGGTAAGTTTGATGGGGAGGCTGAGCCTGCAGCCTGAACTTTGCTGAGGGGCTGGGCCTTGCTGGGGGTCGGAACTTAACTTTCCTCGCTGCTGCTCTGTGGTGCGCTGGAGGCTCTGCCGCAACCCACCCACCCACCCACCCACTGCGTGATCGCTAGAAGCAGCCAGTGCCGTAGGGTTGGATGGGGGCAGAGAAGGATCCGGGTTGGTCTCTTCACCCCACGGACCCTGCTGACCCCCACCCCTGAATAGCCTTGTCTTCTGGTTTGGGGACCTGAACTTCCGCATTGAGAGCTATGATCTGCACTTTGTCAAGTTTGCCATCGACAGCGAGCAGCTCCACCAGCTCTGGGAGAAAGACCAGGTGGGGAATCCCAGCCTGCACCCCAAGCCGCCCAGCACACTGAGCATGCCCCAGACTACCCACACCCTAGACTGTAGTCCTTGCCCTCACCCACCCTGTCCAAGCTCTTGTCCAATTCTTCGCTTCTGGACTCTCACAGCTCAACATGGCTAAGAACACTTGGCCCATCCTGAAAGGCTTCCAGGAGGGGCCCCTCAACTTTGCACCCACCTTCAAGTTTGACGTGGGTACTAACAAATATGATACCAGGTGAGCTCAGCACTGGGATGAGAGGTGAGAGCATGGGCTTCGGGATGAAGGAGACAGGAAAGAGGGGCAAGAGGCAAGTTCGGGAGCTATGCCTTGATCCCCAGCCACTGATACTCAGGCTACCCCTGCCCACCATAGTGCCAAGAAACGGAAGCCTGCCTGGACAGACCGTATCCTGTGGAAGGTCAAGGCTCCAGGTGGAGGTCCCAGTCCCTCAGGACGGGAGAGCCACCGGCTCCAGGTGACCCAGCACAGCTACCGCAGCCATATGGAATACACAGTCAGCGACCACAAGCCGGTGACTGCCCAGTTCGTCCTACACGTGAGTCCTGGCCTCATCCTCCCCTCGTGACATCCCCCAGCCTGGCTCAGCATCCCCCTGCCCACCGGTAACCCCTTGTACCCGCCCTCAGCAGCACCCACTTGTCATAGCAGACTGGGAGTGGTGTTATAATCTCCATTTTCAGATGAGGAAACTGAGGCTCAGAGACACAGCATCACTCTACCAGGGTCACACAGCTAGTAAAGGGAAGAGTTAGGATTTGAACCCAGGCTAGTCCTTTTCAGAGGCCATGCCTTTTCCATTCATCTTGAACTCCCTCATTTTGAGAGTCTTAGGGCAACTTGTGTTAAAATTCACATATATATTGTGAGTGTTTTATTACATACCAACAAAAATGTATGTAAATATGAGATTTAATCATTATTATCATTTTTTAGTATCTGTTTTAACCTTTATCAGTTAAAGTTGTCCAGAACAAAAAAGCCATTAGTATAGCTTTAGAACAGTCAATATATATGCACATATGCACATCAAAAAATGCTAAAATTCACCAAGACATTTTAAAAATTCACATATATAGTAAGACCAACAAACTCAAAATAGTTCCTCAAACACTATGTAGCATTCATTCATATTCATTTATTATTTATTTATCATCTTACCATATGTGGTAGGGAGGTGAAGTAGAGATATAAAAAACCCCACAAAACTAAGCTCTAAATAGTTACAATAAAATTTAGCATTGTGTTTAGGATTGAGGTCCCTAGTTGCCAAAATAAAAAGGGGATATCCAAGAATGTCAGAACTGGACCTGAGAGACCAGATAGTCCAAATCTCTGTTTTTTTTTCTGGGGACATGGAGGCCCCTAGTGGGGTAGGCATTTTCCCCAAGTCATATGCCGGTTTAGCAGCAGACTGGGGTAGATCCCATTTTCCAGCCCTGAAACCCAACTCTGGGCTCTCCAGTTTTCTTGATCTGATAAGAGGGAGCCCAGCTAGTCAGAGAATGTTTTCCCTGCTAACTTTGTCACATGGTCAGTCAGCGGGACAGTGGCCAACATCCTCAGCTGGGAATGGAAATCTGCCCATGTCTAGCCTCCTGTGACCTTTGGTAAAAGCCTTAGGTGTGAGGTTTAACCCCCAGCTAGGAACCTCACCTTTAGAATCACTCCTTTTGGGCACCTGTCCTTCCCTCCTTGTCTAGGACTCTATCCCTTGTAAAATGTTACTTGTTGAGTACAGTCAGGTCCGGTATGGGGTGCTTCGCATATGCCATCCCTCTGAATGCCTTGGTAGACCCTGAGATGTCCAAATTCTCCCAGTTTCCTGATAAGGGAAACGGAGGCTCAGAGAACTTAAATCTGTTACCCAGAGCAACACAGAACAGTGTTTAGCAGGGGTTTTGAGTCCATGAGGCCATGAGGATATTTCCAAGAGCCCACTCTGACCAGACCTGCAGTCACAAACCCAGGGGCAAGGAGAGCATTTGCTAGTTCCTTCTGAAGTAGCTTGGCTTAGAAGCCAAGGAGGGAGGGAAACTTGAAACCAGATAAACAGGGAAACAGATAAAAGCCTGAGGCTGGCACTATCTGAGTCCTCCCCTCAGGGACAGAAGTGGCCACCTGCCACTCTAGCAACCCCACCCACATGGTGACCCCTGATCAGCCTGGGGTGACCCTGTAGGAGGATATTTATGGTTATAATTTGTCTTCATGGACTGAGAACAAACAAGGTTAATAGTGGTCTCTCAGTATAGGTGGGGAAACTGAGTCTTACTTAGGGTGGCTAGGGGCTTATCTGAGGTCATGAAAGAAGTTAGTAGCAGAGCCTGGAAGCTCTCCAGCCATCTATCCAGGTCTCTTCTTGCCTGCTCAGGGGTATTCAGTTTAGCCCAGAATATCTAGTGCTTCATGGGACTTTACCTGTCTCCTTCGCTGGCATATAGGCAAATCATTCATTAAGTACCTACTGTATACTGGGACATTTATGGGATGCTTTATATGGTGTCTCACTGAATCTGTTGAACAACCCCAAGAGTTAAATAAGATCATCAGAGTTTACAGACAGGATCCCTGGTGTTCAGAGAGGTCAAGAAACTCACACAGGGTCACACTGCCTGTCAATGGCAGAGCCAGGGCTAAACCCATGGTCTACTGAGCTTCAAAGCTGGGTTCTCACTCACTCCCTAAGGAGGCTAAGGGCAGAAAGAGCCCTGAGCTGGGAGGCAGGAAGCCTGACATTTATCCTAGACCTGTTCTTCCTGTTTCCTGGTCTGTGCAGTGGCTTCAAAGACCCTTCATCTCAGCTGATTTGTGCTGACCCAGGCCCAAGAGCTCTAGGTGCATGGAATACTAGAGGGTCTCCCCTGATATTGTCCCCTGCCCCTGGGCAGTTTGCCTTCAGGGATGACATGCCGCTGGTGCGGCTGGAGGTGGCAGACGAGTGGGTGCGGCCGGAGCAGGCTGTGGCGAGGTACCGCATAGAAACGGTTTTCGCTCGCAGCTCCTGGGACTGGATCGGCTTGTACCGGGTAAGAAGGGCACGTGGGGTGGGGCTGTCAGCGACTTGGAAAGGAAGGGCCTGAATGGACGACCAGACCCCCACGTGGGATCACTGGTTTCTCCAGGGTTTGATGCCACACTGGGAGGCTGCTGGGGTCAGGTGTTAGGGGTCATGACCTTGATTCCTCTCGCCCCAGGTGGGTTTCCGCCACTGCAAGGACTACGTGGCTTATGTGTGGACCAAACATGAGGACGTGGATGGGAACACCTACCAGGTACTTAAGGGGGTGGAGTGGGGAGAGTGGGAGGAAGTCCCCATTGCCCTTGTGGGCTCAGGTCCCAGCTTGAGGGGTCCTGAGGCTGCCTTCTTCACCCCAACCTGGGCCTAACCCCCTGGACCCACTAGGTGACATTCAGTGAAGAGTCGCTGCCCAAGGGCCACGGTGACTTCATCCTGGGCTATTATAGCCACACCCACAGCATCCTCATTGGCGTCACTGAGCCCTTCCAGGTGAGAAGGCCAGGCTGCAGGGTTGGGGGTGCCAAAAGACTCTATTCAAATGCCACAGCCTCTACGTTCTGCTCTCTGACCTTCCTGGGTCTGCCAAGGGGGAAGGAGGGAGTGGTTCCCAGAGGCCTTATGGCTGGTTGGGGAGAGAGGCACCCCAGTGACCAGCCTGGGGTGGTCCCCCTAGATCTCGCTGCCTACTTCGGAGCCGGCCAGCAGCAGCACAGACAGCTCAGGTGCCAGTTCGGAGGATGAGGATGACAGCACCCTGGAGCTACTTGCCCCCAAGTCCCGCAGCCCTAGCCCTGGCAAGTCCAAGCGGCACCGTAGCCGCAGCCCTGGCCTGGCTCGCTTCCCTGGACTCGCCCTGCGGCCCTCATCCCGCGAGCGCAGAGGCACCAGCCGAAGCCCCTCGCCCCAGAGCCACCGCCTGCCCAGGGTGGCTCCAGACAGGGGCAGTGATGGTGGTAGCCGGGGCAGCAGTGAGGAGGGGCCCCCTGGGCTGCCTGGCCCCTGGGCCTTCCCGCCATCTGTACCTCGAAACCTGGGCTTGCTGCCTGCCTTGCGCTTAGAGACCGTAGACCCCGGAGGTGGTGGCTCCTGGGGACCCAATCGGAAGGCCCCCACCCCTGACAGCCTATCTCCCAGCCCCTAAGGTCGGCAGGGACTAGAGGAAGGGGGCCTGGAGCCCTGAGGGTGGTGGGGGCAGGAGGGCCCAGGTGGCCCCCACTCTGCCCCAACTTCTGCAAACCCACCTGTCTCCCCCCTGCTGCTGCTCCATCTTTATGTGCACCTGCCACTCTGTTCTGGCCAGAGGTGGCCAACTGGGGTCCCCCAGACTTGGTCCCAGCACCTCAACTGTGACAATCAGCAAAGCCCTATCCAGGCTCCCATCTGGGATAGGGGGAGCAAAGCTGGAGGTCATCAATTAGGAATTAAATTCTCCAGGCTCACTCCCGACTCCTTCCTCACTTGTTAGCAGTCTGGGGTGGGGGCGGTCAGAGGAAGGGGCTCAAGAGGCAAGAGGATGGCAGATCCAACAGTTACCAGGCACCAGCTGTACACGTTCCACATGCCATCTCCTTTAATCTGCACCACAACCCGGAATTGTGGTGTTTTCAGTACAGTTCTTAGCCCCATTCCACAGGTGAGTAAACGGGCCTCCAAGAGATTTTGGTAGCCTTTGTAAATCAAATGCCTAAGCCCAGTTAGCCTGTGTGTTGGAGGGAGGGGCCATTAACGAGGTGCTAAGTGCTGTCCAGGTACTGGTTCATTTAATCCTCAACAACCCTATGAGGTAGGTCCTGTTTACACTCCCCTTTTTCAGAGGAGGAAACTAAGGCTCAGAGCAGGAGAAGGAGGTCTCTTGCTCAAAGGCACAGGGGAGATCTGAAGTTAGGTTTCGGGCAGAAAGAATGGGCCAGGGCTGGGCCAGAAAGGACATAGCAGCTGTTAAGAGAAAGGGTCCCCTGGGGAGGAGGGGAGTTGGGAAGCCCCTCTCTAGCCCTGCACCCCTTTCTGGATTCAGACACAGGTACTTCTGTGACAGCCCTTATTCCCCACTGCTGCCCCCAGCCTCAGAAGGCAGGCACTGAGCCCCCCCTGGGCAAGTCCTTGAGATATGAATTAATTTCACAACGTGGACATATGTGTACCTCCTCCTGGTACCTGCTGTGGCTGCTGCAATAAGTTATCCCCTCCCCATTCCCATCTGGATGTGAAGTTCCCTGGGAAGGCCCCAGCCCAGGGCAGCAGAATGAGCCTCCTGAATACCATATCCAAGCACAGAGAGGTTGCATCACCAGCCCAAGATCACCCAGCAGAGCAGGAAACGTGGTCCAGCATTTGGGCCTTGGTCCCCTACCCTCTCCATACAGCTTCCTGACTGTTCACAAGAGCCCATGCCATGCTTCAGTCTAACACATGAGAGGTCGAGACCTCCAGGGCCTGGCAAAGCCAGAGGTGAGGTCCAGTCTGGGACCCAGGAGAGCTGGAACTGAGGTCACTGGTTCTGGGATTTGAGCTGCCCCTCAGATCCTCTGGCTGCCTGGGTCAGCTGCAGGCACCGGTCATGCAATGACACGGGGGCCCTTGGGTGCTCTGAAGACCATGCCTGCCCGTTGTCTGTGCCTGTACCCTGGAGCTGAACCCACCTCTGCTGAAGTCGCTGCAAGTGCCGAGTTGACACCTTGATGGCCCTAAGGTACCTGGAACAGCTGTGGGGAAAGAAAAGTGGGGCAGGAGGTCATGACTGCCGAGAATCCCACGCTACTCTGCATACAGGGTGACAAGGACCCAGAGAGGAGCAGGGCAGGGTGGGTTATCCCTCCAAGAAGGCAGAATAAACCTGAGCTGGCATCCAGAGGCCCAGGTTCTGCAGAAACCCAGACCAGTCTGGGCCTTGGTTTCCCAACCTGTGAAACAGGAGAAGTAACGAGTGGCTTTGAGAATCAGAATGGAAATGAGATTGTGGATTAGGAGCAAGAGTTAATGCAAGTGTTTTACTCTGTGTCCTGCAGGCCTTGGCCTGTGCACATCACATCTGCTATTTCCTTGGCTTCTACCCCCATTTTACGGGTAAGGATGCAGAGATGTGGAGAGGTGATTCAACTTGCAAGGTCACACAGGATGTAAGTGACAGTCAAGATGCCACCTACGTGCGCCAACTGCAGAGCTGAACCCAGGGCTGACAGTGGAGCTCAGAGGTCCCCTGATCCCCTCCCCCACCCCCTCGGCCTGAGGTTCACGAAGGGAGTCTAGGCACCCCTCCTCAGAGGAATCCCCCATCCCTCCTGGCTCTGCTGTCACTTACCCTTTGCCCTCAGCACAGTCGGGTGGCAGGACCAGCTTGAAACAAGTCATGCCCAGCAGCTCCCAAAGCACACTGGCACCTGCGGGTGGGCTGTGGAGCCTCAGGAAGTGTGCCAGGCTGAGGACAGAAGCAGACTCAGGCTGGGGCAGGGCCTGGCCAGCCAGGTGTCCCTTCCCAGTGCCTGGCAGAAGGCAGCCCACCCCCGGGTCCAAGCCGTCCTCACCGGCGTGTGCAGTTGCAGTGGAAGAGGGGTTCATGGGCACTATTGAAGAGCTGGAATTTGGTCTTCTGGGGCCCGATCTGGTGCTCACACTGGTCCAAACGGCGGAAGCCACGGCAGGCCTGGTGGGCACCTGGGGACAGGTGTGGTGGTGAGGGGAGCCCCATCACCCAGTGAGGCCCCACCGATGCCCCCTGCCATTCAGCACACACGCTCAGTCTCACACATGGTGTCCCTCCGTCTCATGCCCTTTGTGCCCTCAGAGTGCCTCATGTGTGGGACACATACACACACACACAGCAGCATCACCACGGGGGAAGCCCAAAGAGTGGTCAGAAAAGAAGGCAGAGGCTATGAGAGAGGAAGAGTCAGGGAGAGTGCTCCCGGCGGCAGGAACAGCATGTGCAAAGGCCCAGAGGTGGGAGAGAGAAAGCTGCTTTAGAGGAATCAAATGAAGTTGGTGAAACTGGAGATTTGACTGGGAAGTAGGGTCTGTAGGACCAGCACCCAAGGACCTCTGGGTGTTGGGACATTACAATGGGGGCTCAGCGAGGAGAGCCATGGCCAAGTTTGGAGCTTAAGAAAATCCCTCTGGCTGCATCGTGATTTGGTGGGAGAGGTTGGGAGACCCTGGAAGGAGTTCAGAGCAGGAAAGGAAACAACACAGAGTCCTCTGGCCCTCCACAAAGGCAGGGGCAACTCCTCACATCAGGAACCCCCAAGGTTAGGTTCTGAGCTCACCCTGAGGTTTTAAGCCCTGCCATGGTTCCTGGAGGCCTGTATGTGTGACCTTCAGCTGGGCCATAGGTGCCATATCAGGCCCAGGCGAGGTCACAGGGGCCTGAAGGGCTGTGGTGTTGGCTTTTCTGGGGTGCTTGGACTCTTCCCGCTGCATCCGCCGAGGCTTGCTGGGGGCTGGGTTCTGGGTGCTGGGGGTCAAGGGGGTGGTAGAGGAGCTCCAGGAGGCATTGTAGATGGTACTGGGCTGGAGGCGAGCGAGAGTTACAGAGCCATACGTTCTACACCTGGGAGGTGGCACATGGTGGCAATTGGCAACCCAGAATCCTCCCTCCCAGAAATCCCGGGGCTCATCTCTATGGAGACTGGGGCTCTGCCAGTCCCATCTCTCATCCCACATCCTACTAGGTCATGCAGGGCACCCAGGGAGGATCTGCATCCCCCTGCCCTGAGGAGAGGACAGGGAGGATGATGCACATTCCCCGGAGGACAGACATATGTTCAGGCCTCCCTCCCTCCCCACCTCTTGGAGCCCCACGTCCCTCTCTGGCTGGGAAGGGGTTCAAAAGGCACAGCCACGTACCCACCCCACCAGTACCACGCCACACAGGCCTCCTGCTCCTCCAGCACGAAGCAAGGGATCGCCAGCACGTTGAAGAAGGCCATGCCCACGATGTCGGAGATGGAGTCCTGCTGGTTCTGCAGGCACTGCTGGAATCTGCCCCAGAACAGGCACTCAGGTCCCTGGACCACAGAGGGCTAGCTGGCTCCTCTCCCAAGCCACCTGGTCACCACCAGCCAGGTGACTTGGGGTCCAAGAGTCCCCTCTCAGGCCTCAGCTTTCCCACAGCACAGTAGGGTCTGGCTGGCTGGTCCTTTAGCATTCTCTGGAATCCCAATCTCTGCACCCAGGAACTGGGTAACCCCATCTTGGGCCCCAGCCCTCCCTGCCCACCACCGACCTGGCATCACAGTCACAGTGGGAGACTGTGTGGAATTGGTAGTTTCGGATGCCATAGTTGTACTGGAAGGGCGAGACGTTCTGTGGGCAGTGGTCGTGTTCCCGGCAACAGAGATCTGGGCCCTGGAAGACCCCTGCAGGGAGTGGAGTGGGCACCAGCTCAGGAGGGTCCTGGGCACCACACATCAGCTATGCTCACCTGGTGTCGGGAGCAGAGACCTGGTTCTCGCCCCAGCCCTGACAGATGCTGTGGGTGGCCTCAGGCCTCCCTCTGTGGGATTCTCACAGTTTCAAAGCTTGAAAGGAACACCCTGGCTCAGCCTCTACTGGGCGACTCCAAGTGCCAGACCACCCACCCGGAAGCCCTTGCCCACAGAAAGATCTTCCTGAGTTCTCGGGCTCACACCCCCCAAAAAACTCCAAAGTTATGAATGTGTGTGGAATGGAATGGCAGACAGCAGGGAGTAACCTCACTGGCACGATGAGGCGTTGTCAGGATGCCAACCTGCTCCAGCTCAGGTGCCAAGTCCCCCCACCCAGTGCTCCATGCATACGCACAGACAGCTGCACCAAGGATGCAAAAAAAGCCATCCGTGTTTTTCAACCGCCGAACAATAACACCCTTTACTGAGCATCTCCTAAATGCCTGGCACTTCCCACACCCAAGTGCACCACAGCCCTGGGAAGGAGGTGTTGCTTTAATTGTACAGTTCAGAGCGGGGAAGTGGCTTGTTCAGTTTGGATGCGCGGAGCTCTAATTTGAACCTAGGCCTTTGGGTCTTTGTGTCCACTTCACTGGGCACCCTGTGCCCGTAACGCCTCCTCTCGAGTAATGGCTTTTTGGCTCAGCTGATCCTGGACCCACCCCAGCCTGCCCCTCCCTGGAATGGTGATTAATGAGGACTCCCAGGTTTGAGTAGGACATTTCCCATCTAAAATCTCATTTAGGCATCTTATGATGAGATTTATGGTCATCCCCACTTTTCATATAAGGAAACTGAGGTTCAGAGTGGTTAAGTCACTTCCTCAGGACACACAGCCTGGGAGAGCGGGTGCCAGGGCTAAAGTCTGCACGTCCTCCCCAGCCAGCACCCCAGTCCACACCCCCATGGCTCACCCAGTTCCGATGAGTTCCCGGCGGAGTCCCCGACTCCACACCACAGTGTGCCAGGCATGGTCCAGCCCCTCTTCACCCGCTGGTGCCCTATGCCAGATGTGCCACTCTGCCCTGCTGCTCGCTTCTCTCTGGCCCCTGCTGGACTCTTGGCAGACCCTCGGCAGGCCTCCCACTGACTCTGAAGGCTGGCCAGGGCTCTCTGCAGCTCAGGTCCAGGGGTGTGGATGAAGGAGCCCCGGGTGATCTCATCAGCACAAAGGGCACCGAAGGCTGCAGTGAGCTCTGGCTCATCCTCCTGGCTGCACACCTGCAGCTTCCCGTGCCCATCCCAGCGGGCATGGAACAGGGCCAGGCCCTGTGCATCCTTACCCAGGAAGCTAAGGGACCCCAAGGGGCTGCCAGAGATGGGGTTGGCCAAGTGGCAGGAGGTGCTGTCCCAGTGGAGGGCAGGGAGGCTCCCCAGAGCCACCCCCAGGAAGTTCAGCACCTCCAACAGCACCACCAGAACCCCCATTCCACCCTGGCCTAGCCCAATCAGACAAAGCCCCCGGGAAGCCTACCCACGGGGCAGAAGCTCAGCAGCTGAGTGGAAACGGCGCCCAGCCGAGCCAGTGCAGCAGGGCCAATGAATGGAGGTTTGGGAGGAGAAGGAAGGAGGCTGGAGTATGGGGTGATCTGGGGCTTGTAACTGAATCCACCGGCTGGGCAGCCTGCTGATTGGCCAAGGAGTGCACTTGCCAGGGCCCACGCCCCAACTCAGCCTGCGTTTCTCCACGCCTTCCAGTCACCTGCCGCCAGCCCCGCCTGGATGGGGACGCAGCAACCAAAGCCCTGGGCCCTGGGGGCGAGGGCCAGGAGGGGGATCTGAATCTCTTTGAGGAGGGAAGAGGGGGGTTCAGGGGGTCTGAGGAGGCTCCCAGAATTGGCCCTCATCCCCCCACCCCAGAGGTGGCCACCACAACCACCTCTGTGAAGCTGGCAGAGGGCCATGAGTCTCAGCCAAATCTGGGTAAAGAGATGAGGGCAGGGCTGGGGCTCTGTGGCCACCCTGCCCCCCAGGAGCTCTGAGGGTTCTGGGAAAGGGGGCGTCCATCCCCTGGCCACCTAGGTTGCTTCCCCTGCCCAATCTTGGTTCTCAGAAAGGCACTCAGCATGTTCAGGGGGCAATGCCCCAGGGCTTCCCACTTCCTGGGACTCCGAGGAAGGGCCTGGCGCAGCAGCTGCCTTCCTGGTCTAATAGATGTGGAAGACACAGTCATTGTAGGCTTGGGAGCAACAGAGGACAATGCTGATGCTCTGGGCTTGAAGGGACTGTGGTCCCCAGAGGAACAGAGGTGGCCCAGGGGGCTGGGTCAGCAGCCTCCTCCGTCCTCGGACTGTAGCCACCTTGGCGGGGGTTTGTGGGGAGACACAGCTGGCATCATGTGTCCCTCAAGAGATACAGTGTGTGGGTCTCTCCATCAGGGAGGGGCTACACCCAGCAGATGTTCCTGTGTCTCAAAGCTGATGTATTATTCAACTTCTAGCCATCCAGCGAGGTCGGGTACTTAGAACCAAAGTGCAGATCAAGAAACTGAGCACCAGTGAGGGTGAGGGAACCTCAGGTGGCAGTCGGGCTCCAGCTGGGGAGGGCTTTGAGGCTGGGAGTGCAGCTCTTGGGGGCTTTGATGAGAGGTCAGGGCTGGCTGGAATAGTATCTCGTCTATCTGTCGTGCCCATCAACCTACTGCTCCCCCAGCATCCTCCCAATCTCCATCTGAGTCTCCTCCAGGAAGATGAGCCCCACTGAGGCAGAGCCAAGGGCAGAGCTGGGGAAGGGGAGCCCCCTGTGCAGGGTGAGGAAGACCCGTCTCTGTGGCTTCAGCACCGGCCTGGGCCTGTGGCTCCAAAGGTCATGGCTGGGGACAATGAAGAGACGGGAGAGAGGGGGAGGGTAGCCCAGGAGCCAAACTCCTTCTCTCCAGAGGCTGGGAAGGAGGATGTCCGGTAGAGTGAGTGGTGGCCAGAAGGGGAGGGCCACCTGGGCTTCCCAAAGACAGAGAATGAACAAAGGTGGGTCCCTCTGGGAAGAATTCTGATGTTTGGAAACCATCATGCTGGTAATTTTCTCCAGCTGTAGGAACTGCCACCCACCTCTGCCCTCCTTTTCCATGTGACAGAGCCCTTCCCTGCGGGTGACAACCTGGGGAGGCTGGGAGGTACCATGGCAGGAACCTAACTTTCAAGGTCAGACAGACCTAGCTTGGGTCCTGGCACTGTGTGACCTCAGGCTTAGAAGTCTTAACTTCTCTGAGCCCCAGTCTCCTCATCTACATCATGGGCATAATCACAGCAGTCACTTTGCAAGATGTTGGCATCCGAAACACTGTCCCTGAAGGCTCAGGACACCCCTGGACTGGACTCAGTGTCCCCAGGAGAAAGCACGTCCCAAAGGTTTTGGGGCCACAGCATCTGAGACAGCTAGTCCTGGTTAGGCCACCACCTGGCTATGTGACTGCAGGTTTGTTCCTGTCTCTTTGGGCCTCAGTTTCCTCCTCTGTACAGTGGAGCTGACCTTTGATGTCTCTTCCTGTCTGGGCCCCAAAGGGAGGCAGGCCGGGGACTGCCTAGGCCTCGAGGGAGGGTGTCACTTGGTTTTCCCTTCAGATTAAGCGGCAGCCATGTCGGTCAGCCTACAGGAGCCCCGCCTCCCACCCAGGTGCCCCGCCTCCTGCCCATGTGCCCCTCAGCTGCCTGGGAGCAGAGGCTACTAGGAGCCAAACCAACAGGACAGGACTGGACAAGTTGGCCCTGCAGACAGAGGGGGCCCGAGGCTTTCCTCTGGGTCCCCACCCCAGCTGGGTGCACAGTGGGGAGCGTGGGGTGGTGGTCGGGAGAGAAGGTCTTCCCTCCTCCCACCCTTTCTACTGTTTATCCCTGCAGGTCTCTGTCTGTCCCCAGAACTTTGTCTCCTTCAGGCTCCTCTCTCATTCCTCGCAGTCTATAGTCTCTTTCCATCTCTGACCCTGATTCTGATAATTTCTTTCTGTCTCCCCCATGCCTCCGTCTCTCCACCTTTCTCTGTCTCCAAGATGCACCATCTCATTCCCTCCCTCCATTTCTTTCTTCCTTTCTCTTTCTCTCCTCTTTTCCTCTTTACAGTTTTTCCCTGAGGCCCTTCCTTTACTGTCTCTCTCTCTCATTCATTTCCTCTTCCTCTATCTCGTGTTTTACTCTGTTCTTTGTTCCTTTGTTTGTGTACACACGTGCACACATGTGTCTCTCTCTCTCCTAATTCTTTTCTCTTCCTCCCTTTCTGTCTCTCCCCCCTCCACACCCTGACCCAGGACCCAGTGAACCCTGCCCTTTCCTGTTCACATTTTCCCAGCCATGACCTCATCTGACCCTCACAACCCTTGTCCCTCCCTGGGGATACAGGCAGGGCAAGGCTTATCATCCCATTGTGGAGATGGATGGAGTGAGATCCCTGAAGAGAAGTGACTTGCTGGGAGTCACAGCAGATCAGGGGAGAAGCCAGGTTAGGTGCCTCCTGGCCTGTGGGGAGGGCCACCCCTGGCCCTGGGAGAGTCTCAGCTCCCCGAGAACCTCCCCACATCAGGGCCTTCCTCCCCACTGCCTGAGGGATGATGTCCCTCCACCCCTTGGAGCTGGCCCTCCTGCCCCCCGCCACCTGCCACTCGAGGGCTCCCTGCAGCTCTCTGTGCCAGGAGAATGGTGCAGGCAGTGCCTAGCTCCAGAGCATTCTGTGTTTGTTCAAAAACAAATGGTTACTGAGAGTCTACTATGTGACAGGCACAGGGCAAGGCCCTGGACAGAGAGAGGAGGGGAAGGGGGACAGAGAATGCTCAAGCCAGCAGATGGAGAGGGAAGGCATCCCCTGGGGGTAAGGGGTCTGGCAGCCCAGAGGAACTCGGGCCTGGCTGTCAGTTGGGTCCCCTAGGAAGCTGCCATCCTGAAGAAGTTAGAAGTGCAAGGGATTTATTGGAGGAAATACCTGTGAATGATAAAGGGAGAAGAAGCAGGACTGGGCAGGGAAAGCCTCCAGGCTGCTGCGGGTCTGACATCTAGGGGAGAGAGGAGACGGAAAGCAGGTTCTGGAGAAGAAGAGCCTCACACCGCAGTGCTGCTCTGAGAATGTCTCAGCCAGTCAGCAGGGAGCTCTGGGGCTAAGACTGCCCATCGAAGAGCCCCAGTTGGGCAGAAATGGCCAGACCCTAGCGCCCTGGCTGTGCCCAGTCATTGGTTGGAAGTTGCCCAGGAAGACAGTAGCCTCCCCTCCAAAGCTGCTGCAGATTCTGGAGGGCTGCTCTTTGCCTCCCTGGCTCTCATTTTCTCTCTCAGAATAAGAATTTTCCAAACAGCAGCAGCACCAGGCCTGATCTTTCTAAAACACAAGCCTGGCCAGGTTTGTCCCCTGATCCTCTCTGGCCTTTAAAGCCTGTCATGACCTGCAGGATCTGGGCCCAGCTGACCTCACCAGATCCCCACTTCTCTGCTCCAGCCACACAGAGCTAATTCGTTTCTTCAATCACCAGGCTGTTCCCTTTACCTAAAGTATTTTCCTCTTCACCTGGGCTTGTTCCTATAAATGTTGGTTGAGTCACCTCCTCCAGGAAGCCCTCCTCCCCAACACCCAGGATGGGCAAATGTACTTTAGGTCCCCACTGAGGATTGATTGACATCTCAAAGATGTATGTCACTGAAAGAGGTCAAGTGGCAGTCCATTAAGGCCAGGGGGGTTTAGGGGGCAGGCACTGTGGGAGTCATGGGCTCAGGGTTCAGTCTGACCCAATATTCTATACCACTCTGCTGCCAATGGGCAGTGTAAACATCAGCCAATGATTCCACCCTTCGAGTCCCTATTTTACATGTAAATAAATCATTTTCTTTCTACACCAGTGCTGAACAATAAACTCTAATGCAAGCCATAAATGCAACTTAAAAATTTCTAGCCACAGTTTAAAAAATGAAAGAAACAGGTAAAATTAATTTTAATGATATATTTATGTAATCCATGTGCAAAGCATTATTTCAGCATATGATCAAGATTTTAAAATTATTAATGAACTATTTTACATTCTTTTTTCATACTAAGTCCTTGAAATCAGTGTGTATTTTATACTCACTGCACATCTCACATTTCAAGCGCTCAGTAGCCACATGAGGATAGAGACAACTGTATTGAACAGCAGTCTGTATCTTGACCTGTGTGGTGTTTACACAGGTGAGTTCATAGGTAAAAATTCATGTAACTGAAGACTTCAGACTTTTTTGTTTATGCAAATTGTATCTAGTCTTGAGGAAGAAAAAAATTTGCAGGTTTCTTATCTGATCCCGGGTGGACAAAGGGTGGGGCGATTTCCTGAGGTGGAAGGGGCTAGAGGTGAACAGATGGGTTGCAACGCGGGGGAAAATTGAGAGTCTAAGGAGCTTGGTCCCTTTAGGTCTTCGTTGCCTCCAAGCCCTGGGAGTTTCCAGTCACACCGCCAGGAGCTGTGCAGACCTCGGCTGCCTCCTAGTGGCCAGGTAGGAAGTGGCAGGAAACAGTTGACCTTGGTGCCTGGGCCTTCTCCTCACACATGAGAGGGGGGTCACCTTGTCACTCAAACTTCTCTCCTGGACCTCACAGTCCTGGCCTCTGCCGGTTCTCACTGTCGTGGCCATGAGCATCACCTCTCTCTAGGATTGCTCAATTAGCAAGAAAATAGTCATCAATTTAAACTTAAAGTTTAGATAAACAACAATTAATTTTTAGTATAAATATGTCCCATTCATTGTTCATATAAAATTCAGATTTAATTGAGTGTCCTGTATTTTATTTGGAAACCTGACTTCTAGCTCATCCTCCAGGACCTGGAAGCACAAAATTCAGTGCTGCTTCTTTGCTGTGTGACGTTAGTCACATTCCTTCACCTCTCTGAGCTTCAGATTCCTCCTCTGTAAAATGGCCGATAATTCTTTCCTTGATGAACTATTTTTTTGAGGGGGAGTAATTAGCTTTGTTTATTTATGTATTTATTTTATTCCTTAATCACACTTTTCTTCCCCCTAATCACTTGCCCTTTCCCACTATTCAAGCTTCCTGGCGCCCAAAGCCCCGTGACTCAGGTCCCCGCTCCCTCCGAGGCTCTGCAATGCCTCCCACTTGTCTTATGCTCCTAATCTCCACCCCGCCCTTCTGCTCTCTGGAGATCTGATTGCCTCTGCATGAACTCCCACCACCCCTTGCCTCTGCCTTCTCCTTATTGCCAGCCCCATCCCTCCCTCTGTCCCTTCACAGACTCTGGCCCAGGGTGGCAAGGCAGCATTTTAACAGGAGCAGGTTTTGTAGGTGAATTCCAAATGCATCTGATTCTTACCAGCTGTGTGGCCTTGGGTATGTTGCTTAACTTCTCTGAGCCTCTAGCACCTCATACGCAATAATACTTGCTTCAGAATTTGGGGGTGAGGATTAAGCTGCATAAAGCCCTTAGCACAGCACAGCACAGTGTGTGGTATATTACTAAACATTCAATAAATAGCTGCCATTATTAATATTAGTGTTAATATTAGTATTAGAGGAGTAAGGGGAGAGAAAGTGAGGGAGCAGGAGGAAGGTTAGGGCTATTAAAACAAGAACCCTTGGGGATGCTCAAAGCAAGCAGAAGAAGAATTCAGAACATTTCTATTTATTTTATTTTCCCCCACTAGAATGAATTTTTTTTAATTTAGCACAATTTGTTGTAGGCATCAAATACTATTAAATCCACACTGAGTCCTAACAGTATAACTGCAGTATAACCCACAGGGCTTCTGGGGTCTGTAAGTATCTTAGTGTGCTAAGCAGAGAAGATATTACTTATTATGTTTTTGAAGCTGAAGTGTGTCCATGTATGGTAGTTCCAATTCTGTTATTTCTTGGGAACATTTTTAATAGCAGGAACATGAAGAAATAAACATTGCTGGTTCCTGAACATTTAAAGTTTTAGGAATGCGTTCCAGACGAGACCATGAGAATGACCTCATTTCTGACAAAGGAAAAGTTGAACTCTCGCCTTCATTTGGCCTCCTGAACCCAAGAAAAGAACAAAGGAGAATATAATCAGCAAGTTTGTCTTAACTGAAGCTGATGGCTTCAATATCTTTTCGTAATAACGGTGCTCTGTGACTTTCCAAAGGAGGTAGTAGCTCAAGCAGGAATTTTTTAAAGTACACCCAGAGCTCACTCAGTGCTAAGCCTGTTCCATATCCTCACGTCCACCTTCTGGAATAAATCTTTCCATTTCAACAGATGAGGAAACAGGCTTCTGGAGGTCAAACTGCTGTCTAAAGTCAATGTAGGCAGTGAGCACAGGCACTTTCAATGCCTTCCAATCAAAGACCACAAGGAACACACACGTGATTGAACAAGTTGACTTGTTACAGTGAAGGGTGGGATGTGAACTATGGGGAATGAGGGGACATCTCATTCGTCTTAGAAAGGACATTTAGGATTCTGCTTGTGTGAGGTAATTTGGGGAAAGATTTAAGGAGTCAGGGTTTTCATCTGGATCGGAAGCTGTTGATGATGATCGAGTCTGTTGATAAATCTTATCCAGGAGGAAGGAAGCCTAGACTGAGATGAAAGCCGTAACTGGTGAAGCAGGAGCGATCTAGAGATCACATAGATGTGAGCCAGGGTAGGGAAATGCTTGGTCATCTTTGTGGTTTGGACAATGCTCTTGTTTTGTCTGGTTCAGAGTGATTACCGGGAGGTCTTGTTAATGTCCTGACCCATCAGTCACAGAGTGGTCTTGTCTGAGGTTGATGTTCTGTGACATTTTTATGCTCAACTGAAGAACACCAAGGCCTCCCTGTGAGGGTCAGGTCAGCTCCTGGATATCAGGGGCTGCTTTTCTATCTTAGAGCCTGGACTCGAATCTAGGTTTGTGAGACTAGAAACTCCTCTGTGTCACTCCCTGTCCACGGGAACCTGAGGAGAAGGCTGGCAGACGAGGGATTTCATGTATGAGTTCATTTCCTCTACTACCTTCACCCCTTACTCAGACCCAACCCCTAAGACAGTCCCTGGGATCATTGTAGGCACTTAATAGATGCTTGTTGAATTAATGAAACAATGAAGATGGGTGTTAAGATCTCCAGAGAAATAACCCCTGGGTGTAAATTGCAGCTCCACCACCTATCAGCATGCGATCTGAAAACTTTTTATTAAATGATTAAATTACGTAAACTTTCAAAAGTTTTACTCTACCCATTTGTAAAATGGAGATCATCAACAAAACCGTTCATAAGGCTGCTGTGAGGAACAAAAGAAACAGTGTGTGGAGTGTGCGTGGGTAAGGTCAGTACTGCTGGCTATTAGTAGTATCAAACTAAGTAGCCCATTAGTTTTGTGGTTCCATGGCAAGAAAGCAAAGATGGGGTCTTGTTTCTCACTGCATCACCAGGGCCTAGCACATAAATAAATGTTTGATAGGTAAATAAGTAAATTGGCTAGGACCCAGATACTCCCCTCATTTGGGGGGTGAATTTTAATTTTTATATCATTTCTGTCGACTGAAATAAAAATGCATGATGTGAGAGCTGTGAGTTTCAGTTTTATTTGGGAACTTACTGAGGACTATAGCCCTGGGGGACACAGGCTGTTAGAGAGTTCTGAGGAACTGGTCAAAGAGGTGGGCAGAGGGGAGGCAGGTATATATGTGATTTTGGAGAAGGGGTATGTGCAATCAAGCACACATCTCAGTAGAAGGTTGCTGCTTGTCACAAGGAACATGTATCTCAGTTAACAATTTTAGTGTCTTTCTAAGTATGGGAAGATGCAAGAAATTGGGTTCCTAAAATTTTCTTCTGAAAATCTAACTATCCGAAGGCCTGTTTTCCCAGAGCACAGAATGCCTCATTCCTAATCTCCGCCCTGAACTCCCTTTGTGATGTGGTGAAGGTCAGCAACTGCAGTGGCTAGTAATTCAATCCTCATAGAACCGAGTGGCAAGAAACCTTCCTTAGCTGGCATTTCAAACTTAAAGTTGCAAAAATTATTTAAGGAACTCCCATATGCCCTTCACCTAGATTCACCATTTGTTTACATTTTGCTTCATTCGTTTAATCGTTTTATTTATATATATATATATATATATATATATTTATATATATATATATATACATTTTCTTCTGAATCATTTAAAATTAAGTTGGAGACATTGTGCCCGTTTATCCCTACTTTAGGGGATATTTCCTAACAAGAAGGATGTTCTCTTAACATAACCACAATACAATGATCAAATGTAGAGATTTTAACATTGATACAAGAACTATAAACAGCTCATCCACAATGCATATTCAAATTTTGTCACTTGTCCTAATATTGTCCATTACACCTATTCTGTCTCCTCTCCTCCTAGTCTAGGATCTAATTTAGAATCGCACACCACATTTTGCTGTCATGCCTCTTTAATCATCTTTAAATCAAAACAGTTCCTCAGCCTTTCTCTGTCTTTCAGGATATTGCCAATGTCCTGGATTTGGATATATGTCATCCTTCCTCATGAGATATTATATGGCTTATGCATTTTTTTCCCTTGGGGAGGGTGTATTTTTGACAGCAATACCACAGGAGAGATGTGTCTTTCTCAGCACATGTTACTAGGAGGCACATTATTTTACCTGGCCTATAACTGGTGATGTTAACTTTGATCATTTTGATTCCCTTGTTCTGCGAGGTAATACCTCTGTAAAACGACTCTTTTCCCTTTGTAATCAGTATGTAATTTATGGGAGACCCTTTACTGTGTAAACATTGTTCCTGTACTTTTACCACTCTATTGATTTTCTAATTCCATCATATTTGTTAATTGGCAATCTAATAGAAGGAAGAATTTCCCTTCTCCCCTATTTATTTATCTCTTCTTTACATCAATAAAGACTCAAGGGTTACCATTTTATCCAGTTAGTTATACTCTATTGTTATCATTATGTATTCTGATGCTCCAATTGCCCCGATTTGGCCAGTGGGATCTTCTTCAAGTTAGCTCCTGTGTCCTTTGACATAGTCCCATCATCCTGATTCTCATCATCCTCACATTCTGGTGCAACAAAAATGTCCCAAACTTGTCTGGTCCTTTCCCTGCCCGGACCTAGGCTTTCCGAAAGCTGCGAAACGGCTCCTATGTTTTTTCGCTTCCTGCCAGCAGGCGGAACCTTAGAGCCCAGTATCTGGGCCGGAGAACAGCGTGGCGGACCAACCTTTTCCGGTTGTGGCCGGAAGTTCCTCGGCGAGCGGCGGCTCTGCGTCAGCTGACCAGAGTCCGCGTAGGAGGGGTCCGAGGTCTGGTCGGACAAGCTGACCGTGTGGCGGGACTGGTTGGGCTGCCGACGGACGGACAGGCTGGGGCGGCCTCGGCGGCGTTAGCTGAGCAGAGGCAGGTACATGAGGGGTTGGGGGCGGTAGCTAGGGGCCGTCAAGGTTGAGGTACTCGGGTGGGGGACCAGGTTCCGCCTTCACCGGGCCTACGGACTGCGATACTTGAGCCCAGGGGCGCAGAGACAACAAGCCGGCTCTGCCCTCCGCTCCTCCGTCCCAGAAGGGAGTTGAGGCTGGTGTTGTGGTCTTCCGTCCAGAGATTACAGTTTGGGGAAACTGAGGCCCCGAGACGGGAAAAGGCTCCCACAAGCTCTGCTTTCCAGGCAGGGACTCACTCTGACACTCTTTCTGATTCCCACTCGAGTCTGCCTCTCTCATGTGGAGGTCCTTTTAATGAGTTTGCCCCGAGTGGAGAGGTTGAGGCCCGGAAGCGTGGTGAACAGAGTTGGGTTTGGGAGTAAGAGACTCGGATTGGAGACTGCCGCCGACAGCCAGTTGTGCATTCTGGGCCAAGTCCTTTGCCTGTGTCGGGCCTCGGTTTCCTTATTTGTAAAACAGGGCAGTGTTTCTCTAAATGAGCCTCACAACCTCTGCTTTAAAATGTCCTTGGGTGCGTACTTTACAATGCAGGGCTCAAATAAGACCTCTGATTCAAAATCGAGGTCGGAACCAGATTTTGAACGTATTCCTCAGGTGTCCTTTTGCATATTGTTGTTTGAATACCACTGATCTTAAGTGCTTTCCTGTTATGAGTACTAGATGGCCATTCTTTGCTTTGAGGCAGCTGGAACTTGTTCAGGATATTTGAGAGAGAAAAAAGGGAGGAGGAGGGTGCAGGTGTTTAGCCTAGAAAAGAGAGCAATGGAAAGGAACTGTCATTAAAAACTGAAAACATTGTTATGGTGAAGAGGGCTTCTACCTCATCTTTGTGGTTGAAAGAGGCAGAAACTAGAACCAATAGGTGGATTCTGTAGGAAGAGAAGATTTTGATTGAATATAAGAACCTAATGTTGGTCAGATAGCAGTGGAATGGATTGCCTCCTAAGATAGTGAACTCCCAGTCGTAGGAGCTATTAAGGTATTAAATCGAAGTCCTTTTCAACTTGAAAGTGCCCAATTCTGAGTAGTTACTTTGAGTCTTTTTGGTGCTGACTTTTTTTTTTTTTTTTCTGTCCTCTTTTCTTGACATCTCCATCCCCTCGGCCTGCATCTTCTAGAAGTGAGGCCAGTGTATCTGAACTTATGTAATCTCTTCCTGGTTGTCCTATGTACCATCCTTCTGTTCTAGGACTTTGGAATGGCCCATCTGATAAGGGATCCTTAAGTGTTTGTTGAATGAATAACTAAGCAGGGTCCCAACTCCATCCGTTTGTAGCTTATTTTCTTAGAAGCACTTGGAAATGCCTCCGAAGATTTTGTATCTGATCAGAAGCAGCCAGTGAACTCCTTGGACTCACAGAATTGAAGAGTCTGGGTCAAAAGGGACCCCTTGAGGTTGTTCATGCCACCAGCCACCCCCACCCCCCCAGCCCCAGGACATAAATCCCTTTTTAATCCTCTCTCCAGCAGTGTGTTGTATAGAGGTTGTGTCTGCCAAGAGAATTTTTGCAATCTGTTGGCTAACCTTCCATCCACACTTAAAAACCAGTCCTCTGATGGACTTGACTTGCTAGTTCATCCTCACATGTAATCTTCATTTAATGCTTCTAGCATATCTTTAGTTTTCTAGTTAAACATCAAAGCTCCTTATTTTGTGATTTACAAAACTCCAAGCAGATCACTTTTTCAAAACCTGTTAGAATGTTTATGTTGCCCTATGGAGCAGAGGTTCCATATTATGTCCCAATTCTGCTGACATCCCCCTGCCAAAAAAATGTTGAGTTTGAGCCAAGACTTCCTACCTCTGTTTACCTTCCTGCCTTGTTTGTGTTTCCTAGAATTTTTTTTAAAAGTTGTGAAATGCTTATTCAGATATTATCCAGGTGCTGAGTAAAATGATTTTAATTTAGTAGTGTCTTTAAAACTTCTCAATCTGAAATTTTCCTTTTAAAAAAATACCTAAACCCGCATTTCCATAATGTATTCTTCAGGCCACTAGTCTGAAGAGCTGCCTCTAAAAAAAATGTTCTGTGATAAAAATAAGTTTGAAAAAAGCTGCATATCATTATCCCTTCTTGGAGCTTCTCAGTTTATACTACCATATTAAAGGCACTGAGATGTCCTGCAATAAAGAAATATGCATAACCTTGTTTAACCTAGTGTTGCCAAACTTAATTGATGTGTAGCTCCTCTTTTTTTTTTGGAATTGAAGCATACTGACAGATTCTGACCTATAGGAGGAGCCTGCAGTCTATGACCTGTCAGCCAAATCTGACCCCACTGCCTGTGAGCTGGGAATGGGTTTTACATTTTTAAATGGTGGGGAAAAATCCAAAGAACAATAGTATTTTGTGATATGCAAAGATTATAGGGAAATCGAATTCCAGTTTCCATAAATAAGATTTTATTGGAACACAGCCACGTCTTTTAATTTACATACTGTCTTTGGCAGCAGAGTTGAGTAATTGCCCCAAAGACCATATGGTTCACAAAATCTGAAATATTTACTACATGGTGCTATTCAGAAAAAAATTTGCCTACCCCTAACCTGCTCTGTGTACATTTTTTTTTTACTTCTTATTTTTATATACTTTGAGACTTCCAAAAATAATATACAAACTTTCTGTAACCTCTTTACCCAACTTTCCCTAATGTTAACATTTATGTAACCATAATAAAATTATCTAAATAATTTAATAATAATATAGTACTGCTAACTAATCTATGGGCTTTATTCAGGTTTTGCCATTTGTCCCACTATGTCCTTTTTCTGTTCCGGGATCCAGTCCACTTTCCCACTTTGCATTTAGTACCAGGTTTCCTTAGTTTCTTTCAATTTGAGGCAGTTCCTCAGTCGTTTTTGTCTTTCATGACTAAACTTTTGATGAGAACTGGCCAATTATTTTGTAGGAGATCCCTCAAATCTTTTTTTGATAGAATTCACATATCATAAAATTCACCATTTTAAAGTATACTGTTCAGTGGTTTTTAGTATGTTTGCAAGGTTATGCAACCATCGCCACTATCTTAATTCCAGAACATTGTCATCATGCCAGGAAGAAGCCCTGTACACGTTAGCAGTTTCTCCCTCTTCTCCCCTCTTCCCATCTCCCGGCAACCACTAACTACATGATATGTGGCCTTTTGTGTCTGGCTTCTTTCATGAAGCATAGTTTTCAGGGTTCATCCATGTTGTCAGGTGTATCAGTACTTCATTCCTTTTTATGGCTGAATAATGTTCCGCTGTATGGGCAAACCGTGTTTCATTTATCCATTTGTCAGTTGATTGACATTTAAGTTGTTTCTGCCTTTCAGTTGTTATGCTGCTGTGAACATTCCTGTACAAATTTTTGTTTGAACATATTCTCAACCCTCTTAGGTGTGTATACCTAAAAGTGGAATTGCTGGCTCATATGGCAACTCTGCTTAATTTTTTGAGGACCTGCCAAACTGTTTTCCACAGCAGCTACACCATTTTACTTTTTCATTAGCAGTATAAGAGGGCTCCATTTTCTCCACATCCTCTTCCACACTTGCTATTGTCTTTATCATTGTTGCTGTTATTTCCACTCTGGTGGGTGTGAATTTCATTGTAGTTTTTATTTGAATTTCACTAATGATGATGATGTGGAACATCTTTTCATGTGCATATCAGGCATCTGTGTATGTTCTTTGGCGAAATGTCTGTTCAGATCCTTTGCCCATTTTGTCACTGAGTTATTTGTCAACATATACGATTTTACATGTAAATATTAGAAGAGTTTGAAGATTCCCTGAAACCCCTTGAAGTTATTCGGAGTGAGCTGACCTGCAGGATCTGAGGCAATGCCAGTAACTCCCTGACCTGAATGGAGTTGGATTTGGACCTGTTGAAGTGCAGACCGACTTGTCCATTTGAAACTGCTGACCATTCAAAGATTGGTTCAGCCCCGACCACTGCTGACCATGCAGAGCTGGGGTGGCTGTGTCCAGTGAAAGGGGTGCACCAGCATCATCCACGATGTGATGAGACCACTAGAGGAGCCTGTCACTTGGGAGCTCCTTTTGTGCTTGTCTGGTCACAGGCAGGGAGTCGAGGAGGCGGGTGGTTTGCAACACTCAGAACTGTGAGAGCCGTGGGCCGCTGCCTGTCAGGCAGAGCTACCAGTGCACCCACGCCTTTCTCGGCCCCAGAGCATTCGGCTCTATGTAGACTGTCTTCAACACACACACACACACCCCAATGCTTCTAATTGTGAAGGTAATTGATGCTCATATTAGACATTTTGGGAAATACAGAAAAGCACCCCCCCACACACATACACACATCCTCCCCAGTCATCTCTAGCTCCAGTATCTAACAAGAGCCTTTACTGCAATTGCTTTATTTCTTTCTTGTTTCCCCCCAGCAGGTAACATTTTTAATGGTTGAAACCATTCACTGTACATAGTTCTTATAGCTTGCTTTTTCCTATTAACATTGTTATGTTGATGTCTCTGTGTTTTTGCCAGCCTCTTCTGTAAGCTTGACTTCTAATACATTACTTAACTGTTCCCTTATCCAATAAGTCAATAAGCCAGGAAGTCTTAAGGTATAGATGTAATGTTTATAACACTCAGCATGTTCTTAGTGGGTGGAAATCTAGTTTGTTTTTTTTAATAGGGAGCACAGGTTGAAAACTCTTACTGTGGTAAAAATACACATGACAGAATTTACCATTTTAACCATTTTTAAGCGTACAACTCAGTGGCAGTAAGTACATTCACGGTGTTGTGCAAACATCATCTCTGTTTCCAAAACTTTTTCATCACCCCAAACAGAAACTCTGCACCCATTAAGAAATAACAGCCTGTTCTCCTCTCACCCTAACTCCTGGTAACCTCTGATCCACTTTCTATCTGTGAATGTGCCTCCTGTAGATATTTCCTGTGTGGGAATCATATAATAAATAACCCTTTGTGAAAATGTAGGGATTTATTTTTCAATTTTTTTTATTGTGGTATGATACTCATAACATAAAATTTACTATCTTAACCATTTTAGATGTGCACTTCAGTGGTATTAAGTATGTTTGTGTTGTGCAACCGTCACCATCCGTCTCCAGAACTCTTCTCATTTTGCAAAACTGAAACCCTGTACTCATTAAATAGTAACTCCACATTCGCTCCTTCCCCCAGCCACTGGCAGCTACAGTTGTACTTTGTCTCTATGATTCTGACTACTCTAAATACCCCGTGTAAGTGGACTCCTATAGTATTTTGTCTTTTTGTGGCTGGCTGATTCCTCTTAGCATGGTGTCCTCAAGATCCATCCGTGTTGTAGCATGTGTCAGAATTTCTTTCCTTTTTAAGGCTGAATAATACTCCGTTGTATTTATATACCACATTTTGCTTATCCATTTATTTATTGACGGACGCTTGGGTTGCTCCTCTGCTTTAGTTATTGTGAATAATGCAGATATGAACAATGGTGTACTAATATCTCTTTAAGACCCACTTTCAGTTCTTTGGGGTATATAACCAGAAGTGGAATTGCTGGATCATAGGTAATTCTATTGTTAAATTTTTGAGGAACTGCCATGCTGTTTTCCACAGCAGCTGTACCATTTTACATTCCCACCAAAAGTGCACAAGGGTTCCAGTTTTTCCACTGTTTCACCAACACTTATATTTTCTGGGTTTGTTTGTTTTTTGATAGTAGCCATCCTAATGGGTATGAGGTGATATCTCATAGTTTTGATTTGCATTCCCTAATGATTAATGATATTGAGCATCTTTTCATGTTGTTATTGGCCATATCTTCTTTGGAGAAATGTCTATTCAAGTCCTTTGCCCGTTTTTGAATCGGATTGTCCATTTTCTTGTTGAATTTTAGGAATTCTCTATATATTCTGGATATTGATCCCTCACGTATATGATTGATGGATATTTTCTCCCATTCTCTGAGTTGCCTTTGTACTCTGTTGATTGTGTCTGTTGATGCATACCACTTTTAAATTCTCATGAAGTCTCTTTGTTTATTTTTTACTTTATTGCCTGTGCCTTTGGAGTCATATCTGAAAATTTATCGCCAGAAATGTAGTTTTTAAAGTAGAGAAAAGCCACCAAGTAGCTTCTGGCCTAAGATTCTCAGACTTGGCCCTCGTGGATGCAACCCATTGGGGATGGCATGGGTCCATCTCTTCATTTCATTGAGTAGTGGGAGCAAAGCACCACTGGGTAGTGGTGTCCTTGTCACCCAACCCAGCTGGCCTAAGGACACACACAGATCAGAAGCGGCCGTGTCTGCTTCTGTGAAAGTAGCCTCTGGGAGGCTGGCTGGCTGGCTGTCCTGGGACCAGTCGCCAGGTTGACTCCTGTGGTCATCTCTCTAGCTCCTGGCTGTTTAATATCCACACCCCCAGTTGCCTCTCAGAAGTGCCTTTTGCTGTAACATGGCTGGGATTTTAAAGATGGATAGCTGTCTGAATGCGAAAGTGCCTCCTAGGCAAAAGCCCAGGAGAATTTCTTTCTTTTTTTTTTTTGATTAACACTACTATCTCTGCAGAGGAATTTCTCAGTGTGAGGCACTTTTAATTTTACTTATTTTATTTGGGGGGGCTAATTACGTCTATTTATTTATTTTTTTAATGGAGGTACTGGGGATTGAACCCAGAATCTCCTGCATGCTAAGCATGAGCTCTACCACTAGAGCTATACCGTCCCCGCTGAGGCGCTTTTTAAAAAATAACAGTTAAATTCTGACAAGGACATGGACTTCTTGAGGGCCGGAACCAGAACCGAGTCTGATTTATTTTTACTGTTGTGTCTTGTTCTTGACATTCTCTAAATGTTTCCCAGACTGCACTGACAATAAGCACAATTAATGGAGGTGGCTTGGGGCACAAGCCTGATTTGTAAAAGTCAATATTACAGATTATTTAAAACAATGCCATTTTGGTTTTATTGTTTATAGCCATGGTTGGTCTGTCTTATGCATGCTCTCCTGGTGGTCCTCCGTGGGGCCTTCTATTGAAAGGAGAAGCGAGATCATTGTTTTTGTCAAGTATATGCTGATATTATTGAAATTCTTAGAAAGTTTTCTCCATAATTGGTTAAATCTCGTCGACCTTACTCATTTTCTTTTTATACTCTACCTTTAGAGTACTTCAGAGGTCTTTAGCTCAACCTCGGGTAAAATTTATATTAATGAGATTCTATAGAAACTGAATTGAATAAAGATTTACTGACTGTGTGAAAACAAAAGCAAAACTGTCACTTTGAAAACTTTTCTGATAACAAAGGAAGGACAGGCACAATTACCCCATTTGTGGGTGAGGGCCCTGGCTTAGTTGAGTGGCAGAGCAGAGTGTTAGACTAGGTCCTCTGACTCCAGATTGTTCCTTTCGTTGTACTTTACTAAATTCACAGACCTTAACTGGGATATGTCCAGTCTGACAATCTTTCGTTAATACACTTTTATCCAGTTACATTGGTTTGAATTGAAATTGGCAAATTCCCATCGTTTATTGACAAACATGCATGTGACTCCAGGAGGTGTCTAACTAGAGTGAGCAAGACAGTTCAATGAATAATTAATCCTCTCTGAGACTGGCATTGTCTAATACAAGTTGGCACCAGTTTGAGAAAACCTCAACCTTTTTTTGGTTGTATATCCCTGATCTTTTGGGGTTTTTTCCATTTGTTTCATTTGTTTTGGGCAATACATAAGAAAAAAAAACTATTCTAAAACAGTTATGTAACATTTCCAGTTCTGAAAAGCATCATTGAAGAATATCTTGTTCTTTTAGAATACTGATTTTCTACAACTTCATTTGGCTACATTGACTTATATTGAGTTGCACAGTTCTGAGTACTCCTGGGCATCACATTCATCACCCCACACATACTTATGAGGTGCTCTTGAGGTGTCTAGCCCTGTGCTGAATAAGGCTCCTGGAACCTGCGTCAGGACTTGAGGAGACAAACACATGAACAAATCACTGAGGTGCTTAAGCACATTGGCTTGGGAGTTGAGAACTTTGCTTCCTACTGGCCCTGTGACTGTGGGCAAGTGACCTAACTACTGTGAGCCTTAATCTGACCTCCCAGGGATGCTAAAGATGGTACAGCAGTGTTTACCTCAAAGGCAGGTTGTAAAGATTAAATGAGAATTCATTAAAAGACTGAGCAGAGTGTTAGCCTGTGTTATTCACAGCGATGATAGATACAAGTGCCTCCTTATTTTCACACTTGTGGGAAGAATCTGATCTTACCAGGATCAAACTAAGCATGTCCTGTTTTGGATTTCCTCATACACAATTCTGATGTCTCACCTACAATGCCTTCAAGGAACGATGCTCATTCAGAAAGGGAAGTTGTGACTCATTCATTCAGCAAGTAAGGCGAGTACCAGCTGAGTGCATAGCTCTGTGGGGAATATAAAGATGCAGTTACACCTTCCGTGTGTGCGTGTTCTGCAAGACCTCATGGCAGAGGGGGATTAACACTTTCTGAGCACTTACTGTGTGCAGGCACTGTGCTGGCCCCTTCCTGTTTTCTCTCTTTAATCCTTACAACTATCATGTGAGGAAGGTAATCGCCGCATTTTAACAGTTGAGTGAAAAAGGCTTGGAGGGAAAATAATGACTGAAGTCACAGAGTTAGTGTCAGAGCTGGGATTTGAACCCAGAACCATCAGATTCCTCTGTGCCATGCTAATTTTAAGGACAAAAGTCCATAAAAAGTTCAGGCACATTTAAGACAGTGATATAAGGGATGGCAGAAGGCCTCTTGAATGACCCCTCAAAAGCTTGTGCCAGGGTAAGCTGAACCCTGCTCCACCCTTTCTTATGAAACCTGGTAAGCTTTGAGAAAAACCATTGAAGCTTAAAATGAAACAAACAAGAAAACCTTTTAATTCAGAAATAATGAAAGACAATGTGAACAAGTAGGAACAGCTGAACCTAGAATTCCCACTCAGATGTGTGTTATATTTGGAGATTGTTATCTCTAGGGCCTAGCACAGTGCATGGAACACAATGGATTTTAATAATTAATTAATGAACTTCAAGTATCTGTCCAAACTGCCAAAATTTCACTGTGTTTCTCATGTGACTTAGCATATGTTCTGTTTGGAAGATACACATGTCATTGGCAAGGATGAGCAAAGGAACCACTCTTACGTATTTTTCATGGGAGTGAAAATTGGCACATCCTTTCTGGAGGGTGCTTGGTACTATCTGTCAAAATTACAAGTATAGCTACCCTCTGACCCAGCAGTTCTACTCCTGGAATGTGTCCTCAAGGTATAGTCTAGGACCTTGGTCTCCAAGGCAGGGAACAGGGTGACTAGGTTCTAGGGATGGGAGAGAGAGACTTTTCAGTCTATATCCTTTTGTACCTTTTGAATTTTGCGCCATATGAATGTGTTACTTATTAAAAATATAAATGAAAATTTTAAATGTGAAAATTTCTGAGAGGATATTATGCTAAGGATCATCACACCTTAGTGTGGATTTCTTTCATTTGATTGCTTTCCTTTTTGCCCCCTGCTGAGATCTGAAGATATGGGACCTTTAGCATTTTCCCAGATTTTTTATGAGTATTAGTAACATAGTATTTATTATGGGAAAAATGGGAAGAACAGTTAAGCGTAAAAAAAACTTTAAAATTTTGCCCATGATTCCACTATCCAGGGACCACTACAGTTAATATTTTGGGGCCCTACCAGTTGTTTCTGTATCTTTTAACCTGTTGGTATCATACAGTATGTTCAGTTTGGTATACAATTTTCTCTCCTGCTTTTTTCACTTAACATTATGTTATGTAATTAAAATCCCCATGTAAGCAAAATCTTTATGGAAGCATACGTTTTAGTGGCCTCGTAATATATTGCGTGAATGTATCAGTTTACTTAGCCAAGGAATGGGAGCTGGATGGGGAGAGAAAGAGACATTGGAATCATGGAACTCTTTGGAAGCTTAGGCAGGTCTGGGTTAGGTGGCTCAGCAGGGAATGAGCCTGACAGGCCAGGGCTGAAGGGCTCAAGGCCTTCTAGGCGTTTCTTCATACCTCAGTCCCAGCCCTTGCTGCCTTCCCACCCCCATATGTGCTCTGGGCTCCAGCCACAATGAACTTGGAAATTGAGCTGTCCACTTGTCCTGTGTGCCGTGTCTGCATCCTCCCCAGCAAGCCTTGCCCTCACCACTCTGTACACATCACTGTCAGCACGTAGCACACTGGGCTGCCCTTTGGTTTACTTGCCTGTGTCCCCTGTTAGGCTGAAACCCTTTATCTTTGTGTCTTGAATGTCTGGCAAATAGGATCACGAATACATCTTTGAAAGTAAGTGTGGAGTTGGTTGAACAGATGGGAAGATTAGAGGGTACCAGAGAAAAGGACCAGTGCAGCCCTAAAGTAAAGAGACCAACTCTCAGCCTCCTCTGTCCTTCTGGACCTGAAAGGCCATTCATGCCCTTGGTCTTGTATTTGAGGGCCAGCCCTCTGTGAGCTAGCCGAGGACCTCAACTCCATTTAGACTCCAAAATGTTAGGGGCTAGTTTCTGTGTGTTCCAAGTTCCAGTCAGCTTACTCAGATTTCTTCCCACTCGAACCTTCTGCAAGTGTGATGTAGACATTCTTGGAATGTGGGTCCCATCTTGGCCTACATGTGGTCCAGCAGCGGCCTAATGAGCAGTGATAACGGGCTTGGACACGTCACTGTTCTGGTAGAAGGCGTCCACGTGAACAGCATGTGCTCACAGGAGCAGGACCTCTGCTGAGTCACCTCTCAGATCATGCCAGTTATTTATCATCTAAATTTGTAATCTGCATAACTAGGATTGACATTTCCAGATACCTCTGAACACCTGGGCCAGGAATTCATAGAGTTGAAGGGCAGAGAAGACAGATGATGAATGTTTGCAGCTCTAGAACCTGAGAACTGAACACAGGAATACTACAAAGAGATTTCTGCCTGAGGTTGAGTTCCCGGGGGCCTCCTTCAGGGATATGCAACTCTCGCTTTCTCTTCCTCTCTCAGTTCCTGTGAGGAGGGCCAGGCTAGCTCTGGCAGGTAGTAGAGTGTAGGTGCTGGGTCAGGCAGCCTCAGCGGCCAGGCTCTGCATTCCTAAGGGATTATTAAATATTACACACCTGCCTTAGTCCCAGCACCACATGTGCTGCCTTGGACATCTCAAATTTAGGAATGGTTTTCAAAGCAAGAGGTGAACTTGTTTCTTAAATGGTCAGCTTTGTCCCAGATAGACCAGGTGCTGGCCTGCCTGTCTGAGATCTCAGCAGACTTGTCCCCTACCCTCCAAGATTATCTGATCTCTCCATAGTCCCTGTGGACTGTTGCTGGGGATGGTGTATTCTGAAGAGAAGCTCTGCGGTTACTGTCCCTCCCAAACTCTGCTGTGCTGTGTTCCCAGAGTCCTTCCCTGTTTGAGAGCTGATTTTCCAAAACTCTTCCTCATCAGAGGACCATCTGGAGTGGAAGCTGGGGACACTTATTTAAAAATATAGATTCTTGGATCCTGTCCAGTTCCAGGTTCTATTTAAATCACTGAGGAGGTCTAGGAACCAGAAATCTGGGAGGGTGCCTTGTTTAGGCGAGTTTGGTGGAGCGCCTTGTTAAGACTTCTTACAGTTAGCTCCTGTTCTGGACTCGAGGGGGTCAACATGGTCTTGCTTTTCCTTATGACCCCTACCCCATAGTTGGTAGCTCCAGGCCTGGCATGTAGTTGGTGCTAGAGAGCTGTTGGTTTAATGCATAAATGGATGAGTAGTGATTTTGCTTTGTACTCACTTCAAAGAATACAGAAGGTAAAGCATTGCACAGTGAATTTGAGGAAAAACAAAGGCCAGGTGTTTAATTTTGTAAAGCTGTATGTTAAAGGAGTAAAATGTAAGAGTGAAAAGAGTGCTGTTGTATTGCAAAGTCTGAATTGGGCACAGAATTACATGTATGATGGCCTGGCTTGGGCAAGTCCTCTAACATCCTGGTCTGATGTCCTCCTCTGTGAAATGGGGTGAGGGTCAGAAGTGGTAGTGGATGTGAATGTGCTATGAAAACTAGAAAGTGGATTCAGATCAGGAGTGAAGAATGGTCAGAGTAGGGACAAGGACACAGAACCAGCCACAACAAGGTGACTCTGGTTCGGTCCAAATCCAGGTCCCTCCAGGGACCAGGAGTTTTTAGCAGGGTGGCCACTCAGCTATGCCCAGGGTCTGCTTCCCTTTTACTCTGTCTAGTTCCTGAGCTGACCAGGGCCTTCTCTTCTCTGCGCCAGTGTCCCAGTCCTTTTGGGTCCTCATGGAACATTCTGTTCTGCAGGTGCTCAGTGAACGGTTCCCAGGGAAGGCTGTTCATCTCTGCCATGCTGCTCTGGCATGTCGTTCCTGGGCAGGAGGGGAGGTAGGAGGTAAGAGAGGAGGCTCAGGTGACAGGACCCAGGATGTGTTGCGAAGAGAGGTTACGTGAACAGCCAGCCTGGGAGTTGACCAAAATCGGTCACACACGCCTGTGCCCACACTCTCAGCAAATATTTGAGTGCCTACCAGGATGGAGCTCTAGAACCCAGGTAGGGACTACACGGTCAGTCTCCTAAGGAGAGTGATACGGTCTGCCTAGGGCTAGGACATGGAGGCCTATCCCAGTGCCTGGCCTACTGCAATACCTCAGTTCCCTGCATACTGTGAGCTGACCTGTTACTGTCCCCTGGCCATTCCTACCCTGACACTACCATGACCTTTATTGTTCCCTTACACCCACGTGTAGGGAAATGCAAGTACAAAGCCTTATTGGGCCAGGGGGCGGAGAGGGCAGTAAACAAGGGTGGGTGGTGGGTGCGTGCATCTTCCCAGCAGCAGCAGACCCTCCTGCCCTGGAGGGTCCTCCAGGTCACTGTGTTGTCTCACATGGCGACCTTAGCAGCCCTGCACGAAGTATGACATCCTCATTTTTCAAGTGAGAAAAGATATTCAGGCCATCAAGGGATTTACCCAGAGCTGTATGGCTAGTCAGTAGTGGAGCCAGGATTTCAACTCAGAACCTTTCAGAATTTGGGAGAATTGGAACGTTTGGGGGGAAAAGTTTTTAATGTAAATTAATTTGTCTGATTTTAGAATTAATGCAGGTTAAAATGTCAGTTTTATAAACAGGGAAGGCCTCTAAGCCCCCAGCAGTACAGAGACAATCACTATTAATAATTTGGTATATTCTTTCACATTTTTAAAGACATTTTCTAATACTTATATTCATTATTGTTGTAACAAATTAATATTATACATATGTTTTACAGTTTACTTTTTCAAAAATGTTACTGTAAAAGTAATACCTGCTTGTCATAAAACGCTGAAACAGGATAAAAATATAAAATTCAGAGTTCCCTAGCCCTCCTAATCCCAGAAATAACTGTTGATAGTTTAGTGTGTGCCTTCTAGACATTTTCTTTATAAATGTGTAAATGTATACTCATTTATATACTTCACTTGTTCTCACCTAAGTAAATTCATACACAGACTCTTCTCCAACCTGCTTAAAAAAAAAAAGAAACTTCTTGTTATGGAAATTTTCAAGCACACACAAAAATAAACTAATGCAGTTCACCATCTGTTTCCAACAACCATCAGCTTCCTTGTTCTTACTTCATCTTTTCTCTCCACTTTCACTTTTCCCCCTGGAGTATTTTGAAGGAGATCCCAAACATCTTATCATTCCTTCATAAATACTTAAGCATGCATCTTTACCAGATGAAAAAATTTTAAAAACATCGCACTGTGCCATTATCATACCCCCCCAAATGAACAATAATTCTTTAATATAACTAATACCCAGGCTAAATCAGTTTTTGTCAAGTCATCTCACAAACTTATTTTTACAATTGGTTTGTGTGAATCTGGTTCCAGTGAGATCCACATACTGCCGGTGGTTGGTATGTCTCAACTCTCAATTTATGACTCCACAACCTGCCCTTACTGTTTATTTTTTGGAGAACTTTGGTTGTTCGTCCTGTAGAAAGTCCTGCATTCTGGATTTCCTGATTGTATCTTCGTGAAGTTAACACATGCATCTGTGCCCCATATTTTCTATAATGGGTAATACGTTTTAGAGCCCTGGTTAGAGTCTGTTTTACGGCAAGGATGCTTCGTTGTTAGTGCTATATACTTGTCAGTGCATCACATCAGGAGAGACTTACTTATCTTTCCACATCTATGTGCTTAGTCCTTGATTTTAAAAAGTTTTTCTTTTTTTTTTTTTTAAGAAACTCATAGGTTGGGTACTTGAGCTGGAATGACAAAGGCCATACCATGGGTCTTCCAAGCGGGCTCCATCCTCCAAAGAAAGGAGCAGACGTATATGGAGAGAAGGAAGTATGGGGTCGTGGGGAAGGTCTCGGAGCCGAGGCCAGCAAGGCACAGTGCTGCTGGCAGCCAGCTACTCTTCTGGGACATTATGTAAAATGATGTAACTGAGTGAAAAAGTGGTGGCGAGCCAGCCTCTTCTCCCTGCTCAAGTCACTGAGCTGCTGGCGTGGTGAGGGACACTTGTGAGCCTAGAGTTCTGAGTCCGTGGTGTATAGGAAGGCTTCTGAGTCTGAAAGGACTGTGGCTTTTTGGTCCCTACCTCCCCGTACTTTGGAAGCTGAAATCAGGGTGGTCTTCTGGTACTGCAGCGGTGAGTCCCAAATGTGTGGCAGGGCTGCCTGCTTTGGAGGCCAAGGGTGACATGACCCAGCAACCCAGCGCGGCACAGTCTCAGAGCTAGGAGAGGACACCTAGAAGACCATGTGGTCCAGTGCCTCAGTTTACAGATGAGAAAACTGTGGCCCAGGGAGGAGAGACGTTTCCAAAACCACCTAGCAAGCTGGAGGCACAACTGGGACCAGCATCCAAGCCTCCGGTTCTCTGACTGGTAGCCAGCTAGCATTTCCCGCTTGGGTTTTCTGAGTATCCTTTGGTGGTGTTCCTGTGCTCCTTCTTGTTCAGCTCCTGGGGATTCTTTGATTTGGAGGAGGTAGTAAATAGTGGTCTGTTTCTCCTGGCATTTAGTGGCTAGCCTGGTCTGTTGGTCGTATAGTAGTGGTTTGAATACTGAGTGTCATGAGTCCCACAGTCTGAGTCTCACATTCCTCAGTCAGCCGAAAGGTCCCACAGTTTCCTAAAGGATAAAAGATTTCCCTTCGTTACGTTTATACTTACCTTTCACTTACGGCAGGTAATGCAGTGTTACCTATTTTCAGCAGTGATAGAAGCCTCCTCTTAAATGTATTGAGCTAAAAAGTTGATAGATTTAGACAAAATAAGGTAGGTGGTATTCTAACCTGACAGATGGAATGCGAAAGATTGCAGTGTGGAAGGCATTAGCCCACATGACCTTTCTGGTCCTTCCTGGCTTCCTAACCTTTCACTGTTACAGGCTTTTCTTTGTTTTCTGCCGTATACCAGTCACAACCTTCTGGCTTGAGCAGATTCACCTGCCAACATAGAGGCCATTCAGAGTTAGAGGACAGCCTGTGAACTTTCAGCCTTATTGAGCATGTGTTTATCACCTGGGCGGTGATCCTGGAAGAATGTGAAGGCAATGAGACAGGGTCCTAGTTCCCAGGGGGAGCCATCTGGAGGCTTCTCTCTATTTGTGCAGTTTGTGCATTTGTATGGTGCAGTCTAGGCCGTGTTCGTGGGAAGTTTCTGAGTCATTGCTCTCTGGGTGGTGCCCCACAACTGTCAGCTTCTGGAACATCTACCCAGGGGTTCAGTCATAATCTGAACTTACGGAGCTGAGAGAAGATGGGGGTATTGGCATGGAGACCAGGGGAGTGGCCTGCAGAAGTGGATCACGGACTCTCTGCCTTTCAGGGTTTTCCTGGGGAAGAATCTTCACTCAGTGTTTGCTGACAGCCAAGAATGGCGAGCAAGGGGCCCTCGGCCTCTGCATCCCCTGAGAACTCTAGTGCAGGGGGGCCCAGCGGCAGCAGCAATGGCACTGGAGAGAGCGGAGGGCAGGACAGCACCTTCGAGTGCAACATCTGCCTGGACACAGCCAAGGACGCCGTCATCAGCCTGTGCGGCCACCTCTTCTGGTCAGTACCCCTGCCACCGCCCCAGAGGACACATGCCAAGTTAAGAAACAGTTGTGACCATGAACAGCTTTGGAGCAGAAGGTTTCCCACCCATTTTGGGTCCTGATGCACTCAGGCCCAAAGGCAGGAGACCTGAGTTCTCATCCCAGCTCCGCTGCTAAGCTGAATGACCTTGAGCAAATCCTGTCCCCACCCTGGGCTCCTTGTCCCCATCTCCAGAGTGACAGTATTCACCTTAGTGAGCACTTGCTCCATGCCACTTGCCACACGAGCCAGAGGCACTATAGCACGGTGGTTATGAGCAAGGACTGTGGACCAGACTGCCAGGCTCTAAATCCTGACTCCACCATTTCCCTCCCAGATGACCTTGGGCCAGGTGCTTACACACATGGTACTTCATTTTACAGGGGTGTTTGGGAACATTAAATGACTCAAAATGTATAAAAGATGTAGAAAAGCACACAGTACGTAATAAACAGTACATGTTCACCATGGTCCTAGTATTTACTGTATTTTATGCATATCAGAATGAAGTGGCAGAGTCAGTGTCCATTCCAGAACTGGCTCTGAGAACCTGGGTGAAAGTAGAGTTTGTGGGGTTTTTTTTGTTTTTTTCTCTTTCTTTTGAGCTGGACCTCGAAGGGCAAATTGGGGTAACTAGAGGGATGAGAATGTCAGCCAGGTAAGGCGAAGAGTGTGTTCCACCCCAAGGCAGGCAGTTTCTCGGGACAGGCAGATGCGCTGTTGGGCTCGTCTGAGAGCCTGAGGCTGCTGTTCCCCCTGATGGCACTGTGCGCCGGTGCAGTGGGCTGGGGGATATGAGGCACCAAGACTGGTTCAGGAAGGATTGGGCCAGAGTATCACACCCAGATTTGACTGAGCAGAACATGGAGCTATTGAATATTTTTGAGCAAGGAAGTGGGGTGAAGAAAGGCTCATTTAAGCAATATTTAAGGGAGTTTAAGTTGGCAACAGTGAAAAAGATAAATTTATTGGTGAATGAACAGAATGGGGCAGAGATTTTTGTTCTGGAGGCTCTTGCCCTAATCATAAAGTTTTATGCAGAAACTGTTGCCATCAGCTCTCTCCTAGAAATTGGAGATGCCCCAGTTTTATGATTGGGGTGTCATAAAACAAGGATTTGTAAGAATTAAGAATTAAGTCAGCATACCATTGGTAAGAATACAGACTCTGAAATGAAACAGATGCTGAGTGGTTTGTCCCTAAGCGTGTCTGCTGTCCCCTCTGTACCTGTTTCCTTATCTGTGAAGCAAGGTAACTGCACTCCCTCAAAGGGTAGTGTGACGACCATTCAGTGACATTGACAAATGAAACTATTCAGCCACAGCTGTTTAATGGATGGGGGTAATCAGCATCACTGTTACAATCCGGAGCTTCCCCCTGAGGGAGGGCACCTCCACTTCTCCCCCACTGCCCTTAAGGGAAGTCCCCAGTGGAGAGCTGCCATGATTTGGGTGCCCTCTGCTCAGTTTGGGATGGAGCTGAAAGGTTTATGTTGGAGTCAGGTGTCAGGTGTCTGTTACGTCCAAGGAGGCTGTTTGTCTGGACTGTGAGACTAAACTGTGGTTCAGTAATTGGGAAAGGGATTATCCTCCTAGTCCAAATTTTACTTACCTAGAGAAGTTACATTATGTGAGGGTCAGAAGCTGTGTCTACATTTTCCACTGTCCTGGCACATAGTAGACACACAGTAGATATTTTATATATGCATGAATGGATAGATGAAGAGAGCAAGAAAAAATTTAAATTTGGAGTTAGAGTAGCTCTTCTTCAGTTCTGTAAATGTCGTTTTTGCACTCAGTGCTGGATGATAGAGGGGCAGGAAAATGGAAGTCAGAAGACTTTTAGTCCTGGCACCGTAGGCGAGTTCCTCCATGTTTCTGCGTTTGGTTCCCTTGCTTTTGAAGCAACGGGCTGGGCAGCAGTGTCTCTAGTGTAACACACTAAGCTGGCAGCCGCCCTTTCTGCCAAGCAGGGTCCCCATCTTCCCATTACTTCAAGATGTTTTTACAGTAGACTTGAACTCTGAGGCTCCTTCCTGCCAGCAGAGCTTTCAGGGCTAAGGGCAGCTTGAAGATGCAGTTAAACTGGATCTAGAGCCACACCTTCCTTGTGAGCCTAAGGAGGCTGTGAACCCACTGAAATCGAGTCTAAAATAGTACATGTGTGCCTGTGCATGAGAATGCCCCCGTGGATTTTTTTGCACAGAAGATCCTTAGCTTTTCTGGATTCCTTCAGCGGCCATGATCCCTCAGAGGTTACCTTGTAAAGAAGCTGGGTCTGAGATGGTCTGGGACCTGGGGGTCTTCATAAGTAGTGGGATCCCAGGGGTGGAGACTGGGGTCTTGTCTCCATTGCTTCATTTTTCCTGTGACTTGAGCTCAGTCTTTTCTAATTTCTGAAAGCAGTGATCGCTGCAGACCCTCAGTGCGGTGGCAGTGCTCCACAGTACGATCCTGTCTTCCCATTTTCCTGTTCCTACCATATCCAGTGTTTCTATTAATGAAATCATTTCTCTTCCTTTCCCCTGTCTCTTTCCTCCTTGATGACTGGTTGCCCTGGGGACTCTGGCAGTTGGCCGTGTTTACATCAGGTAAGATGCATTTCATTTTACTTTGTCTTTCATCAGCTGTGGTTGCACAAGACATCCCTAGTCTCAGGAGACTGCCGTCAGAAGCTGCAATCTCCCCTACTTCTGGGCTCATTTGCTTGCGTTCCCCCCAACTCTTTATACATCTGACCACGGACAGCACTTGATGTAACAGGGGGTCAGTGTGGTACCTGGGAGGGATGCTCCTGCCTCTGCTACCCATGGCCTCTGTGGCCTTGGCAGGCTTCCACCTTGCTGGGTCTCACTTTCTCATTTGTACGTTAGATATGATAGCCTATTAGGTTTTTATTTCTGAGATTATGTCTCTATAAAAAGTAACTCTTATTGTATCAAAAATCCCCTCCACCCTTAAAGGTCTTGAGAATGTTAAGAAGAGAGAAACTCAACAGAGAGCTTTTATGAAAGGGAAAGAGTCTCTTTTCCCAGCTTTTGATTATTATGAAAACCGCTTAGTAAGTTTTCACCAAGACCCAGGCGCCTGCTTGGTGGGACAGAGCCGGGCTTGGCATTCACAACTGGCTGTGAATAATCAGCGCTGGCTGAGTGTCTCCATGGTTGTTGGCAGTGGAGTCTCACACTAGTAGGTGGCTGGGAATGTGAGGGAGGACAGAAGTTCCAGCCTGCTAGAGCCTCCGAACCTGAGTGGGAGAGAGAACTGGAGGAAACAAGACAGGTTTGGGTTTCCGCTAGTTTTAGGGCTGCACATTCTGACCCCAGCGGAACCTGGTGGAACATTTCTGCTCTAAATTTATGAAGAGCACATAACACTTAAGTTTTTGAGTTTTATAACAGTGAGATAAAGGAAATAAGATATAAAATCTTTAAATTTAGCTGCCTTCTTCTTGGGCCTGAAGTCCTAGGTCCACATTTATATAATAAACTTTGTATCATTGGGTCTAAAGATGCCATTAATGTTCTAAGATAAATGTTGAGAATATATATAATTGTTTAATGTCTACAAAGACACTACAGGTAATACGTTTTCATCATTTTTGTTTTGTTTTTGAGAAAGTTAAACAAAATGATGTACTATAACCAGTGAAAGGGGCTGGAAAACCCCAAATAGGATTCTGGTGTTTTTAATTTTTTCTTTTTTCCCCAAAGAATATTGCAGTTTTATTGTTCACAATTAGAAGTTTATGGTATTTTTCTTGGACCCTTTCTTTTGACGCATTATATTAGTTTCCTATTGCTGATGTAACAAATTTCAACAAACTTAATGACTTATCACAACACTGAGACTTATTATCTTATTGTCCTGCCAGTCAGAAGTACTCAAATCAAGGTGTCAGCAAGAGTGTTTCCTTCCGGAGGTTCTGGGAGAGAAATCATGTCCTTGCATTCTCTTGGCTCATGATCCCGGCCCTCATTTTCAAAGCCAGTAATGTAGCACTTTCAAATCTCTCTACTTCTCTCCACTCCTCCTCACCCCCCGCCTCCATCTTCACCTGGTGTTTTTAATTTTGAAAGAAATAGTACAATGTGAAAATCAGTGAAAGTACATAAAAAACACTAAGCAAATTTAGATAAGAAGAAAAATCTATTCTTTAGCACGTAGTAAATCACCAGAAAATGGTCAGCTGAGGCCCAGATGCTGGTGTCTGAAATACAGAGTTAATGAGGAAGTGCTGTAAAAATGAGAAACACAGAAAAAATGATAATAATCTGACTGCCAGGGTCATACAGTGGAACCCTCAGGGAAGGTGGAGGTGTAAAGTTTATTATTGCTGTACCCACGGCCTAACCTGAGGCTGGATCTGTCAGGCCTCTTGACACAGCTCCAGGCTTGCAGTTCCTTCCTGCCATATTGCTGGGAGCCCCTCAAGAGAGCGAAGCATGAAGAAGCCTGTTTAATTATGATGGCATTTAAAGGCAGTTTTGATTTCACCACTACTAAATGTTTATTGAGCGCCAGGAGCGGGAAGCAGAGAATTGGGTTGCTCAACGTGTTCCCTGTTGGTTCTGGTGTTTCCAGTGTGCGGCCTCTGGTCCGTGTCTTCTGCTGGCTCAGACTGACCACTCTGGTGGGTTTGCGCCATCATGCGGTTTTCTCTCCTTGCAGTGGTTGGAAACCAGACCTAACAGACAGGTGTGTCCAGTTTGCAAAGCCGGCATCAGCCGTGACAAGGTCATCCCGCTGTACGGCAGGGGCAGCACCGGGCAGCAGGACCCCAGGTGAGGCCGTGGCGCCCCTCACACCCCCTTCTCCCCTTGGACACCTCTCACTCCACCCTTCACGTAGTGCCTGCAGGTCCTCAGTTTGGGGATCCAGATGGGAGCCTGCGAGGAGGGGAGGGGATCGGGTCACCCTTGCTGGGCTGTAATACAGATGTGCCCTGAGCGTCTGCCAGCGGCAGGCAGTGTGCTGGGCAGCGCACAGGTGTGCTTGGTGCTGTTGAAGGAGCCTGGGAGCAGGGTGTCAGCAGGAGGGTCTGCAGGGAGGGGTTGCTTCAGCAGTGACATAGACAGGGGAGGAGACACGGGTCCAGGAGGCTTTGTGGAGTTTGAGGTTTCTGGAAATGGAGTTGTGGGTGGGTCTGGCATTCTACAGACACAAGTACTGAGAGCCTTCATAGTGTAGTGCATGGCACGTGCAAACACACATTCACACACGTACACACACCCAAGACTCCTGGCCAGCCCGCCTCAGCGTGCTCTGTATCCGGATATATTGGCTTCTCTTAAAAGATCTTACCCTTCACCTTCATGAGTCTTTGTATTTGTCGTCCCTCTGCCTCTCCTGCCTCCCCAGAGCTGCTCGACCCCCTCGTCCTTCCCCTTCCGCCATTTCAGTGAGCAGCCCTAAGGTTACATCCTCCTTGAAGTGGCCTTTCTTCCCCACATTAGTTGCTTTTACCTGTGCTCCCACTCCATTTAGTTGACATCTCTATTAAAGAAGTCTCTTCCCACCCTGTATTGTGACTGGTTGTAGCCCCCTTAAAACCATGGGTACCTCAAGAGTAAGGTCTGTCCTCAGTCTTACCATCCCGCTTAGTGCCTGGTGGGTCCAGTATCTGGGATGAGTGATGGGAGGGGCTAGGACCCAGAGGCAAAAAGAATCATGTAAAGTACTTGCCCAGGAATAGTGGGAGGTGGAGCTGAAGGTAATGGATCAGAACAGAGAGACCCTGAATCTCAGCTGGCTCTGCCTACGGGCAATCCTCTGTTTCAGTTTAGATTTGGGAGTTTTGACGTCCGTGAGCCCTGTATCACACAGGTCCAGGGAAGGTGTCTGGCCGGCCGTCATAACTAGTCTGGGTCAGGCTCTGTGAGAGGAGTGGGCTGCGTGCCATCTGATGAACGTCTTGTAAAAACTGGATTTTCTCCCTGGTTTTCTACACACTAAGGAAAAACAATTGCAGGTGGAACAGAGTTAGTATTTGGTTTAATTTGGCATAAGTTCATGTGGTAGGCATGAAAGGGGGCTGTGGCCCTGACCCTGTTGGTGAAATGCTCCCAGTCCACTCAGGGACCAGCTCAGAAGCATTTCGTAATAGACTTACTTTACACCATTTCTGTTTTCAGAGAGAAGACCCCACCCCGTCCTCAAGGACAGAGGCCAGAGCCAGAGAACAGAGGGGTGAGGAAAATTCTAGGAGAAGCTTCTAGAAATGAGTTCATGGCTTTAGAAGTTTCCCTTTTGACCCTACACTTTTTTTCCTTGACTACAGGAGTAGAGGAAATTTGCAAAATACAGAAAGGGAAAGAGGGGAGAAAATAACTAATATTCACCCATCCAGAGATAACCACTGGGAACGTTCTGGTCTATTTTCTTTTCTGTTTTTCTATAGTTACCTATACACACAAATTTTGTAGATCTGTTTATGTGTGTGTGTTTTTTATAGCTAGATGTATATGTCAACATGCATTTTTATTTTTACAATATTTGGTTCCTGTTTTGCAAGCCTCTTTTAAAATTTAATTCATTTTGTATTTAGTGCCTTCTGTGTGCTGGGCCTCATTCCAGGCACTGGTGATACATACATCAGTGAACACAGTGAAGACCCTGCCCTTGTGGGGATTATAGGCAGACTGCAGAGACACTGCAGGTCCGGTTCCAGACTACTGCAGTAAAGCAGATACCACAGTAAAGCGAGTCACACAAACTTTGGTTTCCCAGTGCATATAAAAGTTATGTTTACACTATAGTCTATTAAATATGCAATAAATGGCATTATGTCTAAAAAATGTACAAACCTTAATTTAAAAATACCATATTGCTAAAAAATACTATCATCTGAGCCTTCAACAAGTCATAGTAGTAACATCAAAGATCACTGATTACAAATCACTGTAACAAACATAATAACAATGAAAAAGGTTGAAATATTATAAGAATTAGCAAAATGTGACAAATGTGAGCAAATGCTGTTGGAAAAATGGCGCCAACAGACTTGCTCCGTGCAGGGTTGCCACAACCTTCAATTTGTAAAAAAAACAAACAAACAAACAAAAAACAGTGTCTGTGGAGCACAATGAAATGAGATATGCCCATACATTCTCAGAGAGGGAGAGAGATTTCATGATATATCTTGAGATTTTAATACTTTATTTAATGGCTGTTTAGTGTTCAGATGTATAGCCTTCACATTATTTAATCCTTTAGATTGAATGGAGTCAGGGATTGTGATAGAAATCAGGATCTCTTCTCAAGATTACTCTTAATAATAACAGCAGTGGACACTTGCTGGATGATTATTACATGCAAAGAACTATATGTTAAGGGCTTTATATGCATGACCTCATTTAAACCCCACATCAGCCCATTTAACAAAAGAGGAAAATGAGGCCCAGATAGGTGAAGGGACTTGTCCAGGGCCATACGGACAAGACTGAAGCCCAGATCTGGCTTATATTGAAGTCCCTACTCTTGACAACTGGGCGACAGCACCTTTACCTTCCCAGGCTCCAGTTCGTAACGGAGCATTAGCTCCTAACCCAGGAATCAGAGGCCCTGCCCTGAAGACTGTGGTGTACAAGCACCTGCAACCACCAGTGATGCTTTTTGCCTACTCTGCCCAAGGAACATAAACCCACCAAAAGTCAGGACTCATGGGATTGTATAGGTGTTGCTGGAAGGAGGCCGGAGAGTTTGTCCTCGGGATTGCACTGAATCAAGTGGTGGTTCCTGATGAAACAGTTGCACCTTCTGGGTGAGGCAGCCTCGATCCCAGGAGCCCTCAGACTCACCATGCTGGCTCTGAGTGGGAGGCATTTCTTCACTGTGCAGATGGAATGTGGGTTAAATTGGCTGTTAGGCCTTCTAGGTAGTGCTGCCCAGCAAGAAGTTTGGAGCTGGATGCCAGACTGCACTCAGTGTGGGACAGGGAGTGGCCACTTCCTTGACTTGCAGAAGACTCACAAATGAAGGCCAGTCAACTCTTTGTGAAAAGCAATTGGCCCAATAATTTTTCTTCTCCCTCTATTTTTTTTTATTTTTTTAATTTTTTAATCATTTGTTCTAAAGATCTACCCAGGGATGCAGAGGAAGAGAGGAATTTTTTAAAGATACGCACAGTAATTAAGATCATGGGTTTTTGGATTATACTGACCTAGTTTTAGATATAAATTCTATCCCTAGCTAGGTCATACTAGCTGTGGGACCTTGGTGAAGTTATCTCACCTCTCTGAGTCTTGGTGTGGTCATCTGCAGATGTGGGTGATGCTGATATAAGAATTAAGTGCTATTTGAGTATCCTGGTGCTTAACACAGTGCCTAACACAGAGTTGGCACTTAGAAAACAGGAGTTAACTTATTTAGAATATTATGATTTCTACAGAATCTTTTCATGTGTAAGATGATGCAATGTAGACCATGCTATAGGGAGGAAAAGCTGAGGATGATACCAGACTGCTGACAGTGGTTATTGGCAGGGAGGGTGTTGTAAAGTGGAGGGTAAACAAGGAGACCTCTGACTTTGTGTCATTTATTCCTGTAAGGTGTGAGTTTCTCATAACAAGCATATGTTACTTTTGTAATCAGAAAAAAATTGTTTTGAATTTTTAAAATTCTCTGTCACAATATTAAAAGAAAAATGTTGACTGAAAATTCTTACCCATATCTTTTCCAGATAGGTACATATTGCCACATACTTGTGACCATGGTGTTCAAACAATTTTGTCTGATAACTTGGTCATAAGAGTTTTTCTGTGTTGCTGCATAGTCAGCATAATGTTGTTTTAGAAGGTGTATCAAGATTTTGGTCATAACCTCCATTGTTGGCTAGTTAGGGTTCCTACTTTTTTGCTGTTATAATGTGTGGCTTGATCTGATGCTCCCTGGTAATTGGGCATAAGGGTTATTGACAATTTAGCTGCTATAAAGCATGTAGAAAATTGTACTGGGCAGGGTGGGACTCTGGGAAAGAACCTGGAGCTCTGAGAACCCTTACTTGGAGCAGCAGAGAGATTTACTTTGGGTCAGAGCCAGTCCCTTCTGGCATTCACAGCTCTTTAGCTGGGACCCCTTGAAGGCTAGACGGGCAGAAGGGCCACCAGGGTTCCTCTGCCTTGGGATCTCGATGGGAGGAAAAGAGTAGCGGGGAGAGGCGGGTGCCATGTGTTAAGGTGACATGTTTGACAGGTGCAGGAGAAGCCTGCTTGCTGTTCTTCTGAGCTACATTTCTTCTACACAGGGATTTCAAGGGTTTGGATTTGGAGATGGTGGTTTCCAGATGTCTTTTGGAATTGGAGCATTCCCCTTTGGGATATTTGCCACAGCATTTAACATAAACGATGGGCGGCCTCCTCCAGGTAAGACCCTGTTCTCTTGGTAATTTTGCTGGACGTCTCCTTGGAATTCGGCAGTATCTAGGTAACTGCGTGGATAGTCAGCCTTTTCAAAATATGTTAAACTCCTTTTAGATTCCTGGTAGTCATGGTAATGATATTGCACACTTACCAAATATTAGGCATGTTCAGAATGCCTCTCGTTATGAAATTGGGAGCCTGAAGATAAGCCTGTGGGAGAGGTGGGCGATTAGCTTCATTCTACAGATCAGAAGATGCTGAGTGGTGTTTCCCAAGACATACCCCGTGCCCATAAAATGAAAAAGTGGAAACTGCACAGCCAAGGAAGAGCGCAGTCCTGGGCATGTGCCCACTGCTTTGACCACTGGGGACCAGGCGGGGTGAGGCAACTGCAAGGAATCAGGGCCTCTCTGTTCTCTGGCATCTCTGGCCAGCTTCCCGCAGGACACACGTGGGGCTGGTCCTCAGCGCCAGCCCTTTGGGAACTCTGCTGAGGTCTGCTGCCTTCTGCTGCCTTTCTCCCTCCAGCCAGCCCGAGAGTGCCAGTCGCCTTTGGGTGGAGCAGGGCAGTTAGGTGGGCACCCTGAGCTTTACTGCAGTCTTGTGCGTGGGCCCAGGTCCTTACCATGGGGCCTGCAGAGCTCCAAGTCTGTTGAGCTCTGCCTGCACTCACTGGGGCCTCGTGTGTGCTCGGCACGGTGTGAGTACAGAAGGGGCCAGGGCGTGGTTCCTGGCCAGGAGCCTATGCTTTAGGGACAGTAGCCTCTGCTGAGCCATCCTGTGTGTCCCCTGCCCCGACCCTGTGCTTGGCACATTGCAGACAATTGATAAGTCTTTGTTGACTGCCGGCCTGCCTGACTCCGTCAGAGCCCCTATTGGGACAAGTACAGCACTGAGAGACCTGGGGACTGCCCTTCCTTACCTCATCTGCCTCAGAATTTCTCCTCTGTTCACATGAGATTTTCTCAGAGGAAAGAGACCCTATAGGACAGGGTATGCTTCGCTCTGAAGCAGGGCAGGGCCCCATGGAAGCAGCAGGTACCTGCCTGGTAGCTTGTTTCCATCCAGCCTGGTCCAGGGTCACCCTGGGTTCCCCAGGGGAACAGTTCCACTGCCAGTGGACTCTGGATCACTTTATCCCCCTGCCACAGTTTTCCATTGTCACGTTTAGTACAAGTTGCCCATCTGGGATATAGATTCTCCTAACTCTCCTTCCCCCAGACAGGACAAGGAGCTCTACGTAGTAGCTCTTAAAGCAGAGAGGAGTGGAGACCATGTTCTCAGCCCACTTCAATGCAGTGAGGGAGGCAGATCGCTTTGCCTGTCTGGGTCCTGGTTCTCACCTCTGGAAAAGGAAGACACCCACATGGGGCTCCCTAAGACCCCTCCTGCTCAACAGTGCCATAATCTAGAGACTCCATGACATGGGAGGCAGTGCACAGGGAGGCTGAGAGCACAGTGGTGGGGCTCCCCACTAACGCATGCACCTGGAGATCTTGTGCAGGTCACCTTGTACCTGTGCTTCAGTTTCCTCTTACACAAAATGAGATAATACCCACCAAGCAATAATGTGTAGACATAACAGCAAACAGGAGATGCTTAACAAACAGTAGCTTTTAGGGGGGAGGGTATAGCTCAGTGTAGAGCGCATGCCCAGCGTGCATGAAGTCCTGGATTCAATCCCCAGTGCTTCCATTAAAATGAAAAAAAATAAATAAACTTAATTACCTCCCCCCCAAACAAATAAACAAAAATAAATAAAAATAAATACAAATTTAAGAAAAAGAAAATGAATTAAAAAAAAAACAGTAGCTTTTCTTTTATTTTTCCAAGACTTCCCTGTTCTATTTGCACCTGCAGGCCAGACCCTCTTAGGATAAATTGGAGACTTTGTCCTCATTGTGACATGATTCCATATGTTTCATTATTCTAATTTGCTTTTGTCTAATATTATTTAGGGTTTAGAAATCTTTTTAGTGTGCAGGATTCTGTTGTAAAGAGATGAAGGTTGATGCTCTCGACCTCTGACTCGTGTGGGCAGAATGTGCAGAGCCGCAGCATTCTCACAGCCCCTCTCTCCTCCCTCCTGTCTCTCCAGCTGTCCCCGGAACGCCCCAGTACGTGGACGAACAGTTCCTGTCACGCCTCTTCCTGTTTGTGGCCCTGGTGATCATGTTCTGGCTACTGATTGCCTAATGCTGGGCTCTCGGCCTACATCCACAGCAGGGCCTCTGGACCTGTGACACGCCACCCCCATCTTGATGTTTGGCTTCCTGGCTAATCCTGACCCCCTGGAATCAGTGGGGTCAGTAACACATCAAGGAGTCTTGTTTTTCCATCCGAGTTGTGGTACTTAAGACCAGTTGTTGAGGACCCTGGAGGATGGCCACTGCTGTAAACACCCTGCTATAACCTCAGGCCTTAGCATTGAGTCATCCCTCATGGGTTACACCGTGAAATCCTGTTCCAGCCAGCTCAGCAGGGCCTGACTCTGCACAGAGAAGAGGCAGGAGGAGAGAAACTGTCAGAACAATTTCACTTGAGTTTAATATCGCACAAAGGGATGAACCCAGTCGTACTTATGGGAACTTTTTTTCATCTCTTTAAATACCCCTTGATAAGTGGCCTCTGAAATCAGTGGGACTCATACAGAGAGGTTCCCCTTCCAGGTCCCAGTGCCGTTCTATCCTATTTCCTCCCTTCCTCCTCAGCAGAGATGCAAGAAATTGCTGTCCTGTTAAGATCATAACTGCAGCAGCTGAAGCTGGAGTTGCTTCATGAATTCACCAGAGACCCAAAGATCTTTTATTGCCTCTGGGCCACGCTGGTGTCTTTGGCTCCAGAGTGGCCTGAATGACCTTCTGTTTTCCTGATGTGGATTATCCCCAGAGACACATGGCTTCACTCACAGATTTCCCATCAGCTTTCCCCCTAAAATTGTGCATATCTGCCTCTCTGCCAGAGGGCATCTAGCCTGGATGACTGCTGGAGCCGGGGCCGACAGTGCGTTCGCAGAGACCTGCGGTTGGGGCTCAGGTGGATTCGGAGCTCGGATGCTGGAAGGACTGAACACGCAAGCCCTGACCCCAAGGTGGCAGGGGCTCCAGGTGCATCCTTTCCCACACCCCTTGAAGGAAACTGGGGGCCTTGTTAAGTCATCCCAGCTACATGTTGAAAACCACCCTCCTCAGAAGCCAAATTGTCCTTTAGTGAAGAGGCAAGGAAGGGGAAGACCAGCATGTGACCCTGACTTTGGTATGGCTTGAAGACTCCTCGTCTGTGTGCTAAAACGAGGGAAGCATGGGACTCCAGGGCAAGCAGCCCCTGGTGGTTCGTAAACCAGGCGCAGAGCCTGGGAAGCCTTAGCACGATGGTAGGATGTGTTCTTTCTATAGAAGTTCCCCAGAGACTTCCAGGGAATCATTCTTCCCAATCCCTGATTTGTTTTTTGACTTCAGGCTTCTTTCTCTGAATCTGATTGAGGGAGTGTGGGGCCGGCAGAAGGCCAGTTCACTTAGTGGGATGGTTCTTGCTTTGCCAGTCCAGCCTCTTCCTAGAAATCCAGCGTATTCCAGGAGACCCTGAGGGTGAGGGGAGATGGACTTACTCTGGGGGCCTCTCTGTCACTTCACCAGTCCACTCTGCTCCTGGTTTACCCCCAGCAATAGCCAACAAGTAGTCAAAAGCCCCACCGAGTGTTTTTTCCAGATATGACCCTGCATAGTGTGTGGAAACAAGACCTTGAGAAAGATGAGGGAAGCCCTTCTCCCCTCTCCACAGCACCACCCCTCTTCCCCCTTGTACCTTTCAATGCCAGAGTTCAGTGTTTAAAGAGACAAAATGCAAGTATTGAATAGGTGATTCATTTACCGAATCTGTTTGGTAGGAGTAATCCACCAGCTTTACAGTGTGCCTGATGGATTCTAAACATTCTCCTGGCACCCACTCACCTGGAAATCCCTAAAGTCTGAGGGGCCCCTGGAGTTTCTCAGTGCAATGGCCCCACCTAGTGATGAGAGAGAGGACTTCAGTCAGAAATGGGTTCCAGAAGAAAGGTTATTAAAGAAGGGTTGTAGGTGGGAAGAGAATAACTTAGACCCTTAAACGAAGTGGAGTGAGCCCAGGAGCTCCACCAGCAAAGGCATCCCAGGAACCTGCTAGCAAAGCCAGGTTGGCCACCTGCCCTTTGATTTTGAACCTTGAAGCCCCCACTCACCCTCTGCCAGGAGATGGGGCAGAAGAGCCAACTTGGGACTGCTGGCCCAGCCCCAACAGGGAGCCCCCTTCCCACCACCCCTCTGCAGGCTCACCACCTCGCCCTTCTGCCTAGGCAGTTTTGCTCTCTTTTGTGTGTGTTTTCTATGTTCTTGGCCTCCACCCTCCTCCTGCCATCTTTGTGGATTAGGACCAGGTCCCAACCACGGTCAGAAAATGACACCGTGTACAGTGGCACACCTTGACCAGTCACTAATTTTCACTGTTGTGAAAGTGATTTGATTTAGAATTAAACAAATGGTTTTACATTACTGTGAGCTGTGGACTTATTGTCTGTGTCAGGGGAGTAGAGGGATGGGTTGGGGACTAGTCACACCAGTCTGGCCTCTGGGAAGCACCTGTGCGTCCTCGGATATGTCACACTGAGGACAAAAGTCTTCAAACATCCATGGATAATTAGAAATGAAAAGCGTAGGCTGGAGGCCTCGCTTCATACACAACCCCACCCTAGGTGTGACCTGTCTGACAGGCAGACCCAGTCCTGAGAAGCGTTTGGAATTCTGACACTTGCAGGCTGCCACTGTGGAGCTTAGCCTGTGGCTGATCAGAGCCCTGAGGACAATCAGGTTGTTCAGTGTCAGCATCTCTCCCTGTGTTCCTCAACGAGGCAGGTAGGCCCCCAGCCAAGCCCTCTACCTGGAGCAGGGGCCATGCTGCGCCGTGAGGTCCCTCGGTAGCAGAGTGTGAGATAGAAGGTGGTGAGATGACAAACCTGACTCAGCCTCAGGCTCCCCAGCACCTCAGAGCTACAGGTCATCCCTCTGAGAGGAGCCCTTTTCTCCCTCTTAAACTTTGACCTAACAGTTACCAAGTGAAAGAGTGCCAGGGTATAGTAGGAAACGCAAAGGTAGGCAACTCCAGGAATTCACAAGCCCAGTAAGACAAGGAAACATGCACAGAAGAGGAATGGGACTGTACAAGCCTCCCCCTGCCAGTTGTCCAATCCTGTAACCATCAACTCGGGTCCAGCCCTGATTCGCACACCCACACACTGTTCCTCTCCCCTACCTGCTCTGTTCTAAAGCAAATTCTAGTCATATTTCATCTATTAAGTATTTCAATATGCATCTCAATAAGGATTTTAAAAAATATAACCAAAATGCTCTTATGTACCTTTAAAAATTAATAATTCCTTAATGTCATCATACACCCAATCATTGTTCAGATTTTCCTAGTTGTCTCATAATGTGTACAGTTTGTTTGAATTGAGATCCAAATCAGATCCATACATTGCTGGGATGTCTCTTAAGTCTGTTACATCCATAGGATCCTCTTCCATCTCCTTTCTTTCCTTTGCAGTTGATTTGTTAAGGAAACCATTTCATTTGTTCTACTGAGTTACCCACAGCTTCACTTTTGCTATTTGCATCACTATGATATTAAGAAACTCTTCTTATTTCCTGTAAATTGGTTGTTAAATCTAGAGGCTTAGCCAGATTCAGGCTTGTTTTTTTTTTTTTTGGTTAAGACTAGGTCATAAGTGGTAGTATATGTTTCTTGCATCATATTAGGAGGCACCTAATGTCTGGTAGTCCCTCTTTGTGATATTAGCAGCCCTTACTGACCATTGTCTAGAACAGCACTGCCCAATGCAATTTTCTGCAGTTACGGAGATGTTCTCTATCTGCACTCTCCAACACAGTACCTGCTAGCCACATGCGGCTACCAAGCACAGGAAATGTGGCTAGTGGACTAAAGAACTGAATTTTTTGTTCTATCTCACTTTAATTTAAATAGCCACTTACAACTAGTGGCTGTCATATTGGACAGAGCAGATTTATTTACACAGTTTGCAAAAATGATACAATTGAAGATAACAATGTGTTAAGAGCTTAGAAACAAGAGGACTTCCGGCAGACTGGTACAACAAAATTACAGAGAACGTGGGAAGCAGGGGTGGGAGGGAGACAGCTGGTGGTGGTAGGAATGGCAGAGTGGTACAGGGGCAGAGTGTGTTTAAGGAAAAGCAGCGTCTTGGAGTGGAGAGAGTAGGGAGAGCAGGTGGTAGGGTGAGGTGTAGTCAGCTCATGACGGCCTGGTTCAGCTGTTGTTTTGTACAGGAGCTACTGGAGGTTTCTGAGCAGAGAGGTGACAGAAACATAATTTTGGAAGATTAATCAGTCCATTTTAGGTGGGACAATTCAGGGAGGGGAAAGATTAGAGGTCCAAGACTGGCTTGGTTTGAAGCACATGGAAGTGACGCTGGGAATGTCTGGCTGTGGACCAGTAGGTCAGTTCCCTCAGGATAGCAGAGCCTGAACCTAAGTGTGGTTGTCAGCGTCCAGGTTGTCATCTCTGTAGGCCCAGAGTTGATTGTGAGTCAGTCAGCAGGATCTGGCCTCAAAGACTGACCAAGCCATGGTTAGGTAATCAAACTGGACAAGTGACTAGGTGCCGGAAACCCAGGAGGCCTTCTCCCTGCTCAGGCCTTTTCTGCCCTCCAGAACTCCCCTTGGGTTCACAAGTGACTTTTGAATGTTCTCTGGGTCCACATTGAAAAGATGTCTCTGGGTTATGTCATGTCTACAGACTGCTGTTCTCTTCCTTTACATTTCAACCTACATGTCCGAGAGTTACCTGAACTTCTCTGGGAGGAACTTGGAGTTGTTTATCCCCTTACTCCCTGCTGGTGGTAGACCACAAGGCTGGAGGTGGGAAAGAAGTAGAATGAGAGTGAGGAGGGAGAAGAGACCTGGGTTCCTTGCTGTGGGGCAGGGGGAGAGGAAGGACTCCCAGGGGTCTTGGTTTCAAGGCTGCCAGTGCCTGTGTGTCTGGGAAAATACAGTGTAACCTCTTTCCATGTGCAGGGCAAGTTAAAGCCCCATCCCTTTCTGCTAGCCATGAGGTGGCCTGTCAGGAGAGCCCCCTGAATCTTCATACTGTAATGTAATACACAATCTTGTAGCTACTATAATCAGAGCAGAGATTTCTTCAGAAACTAAAGCCAACTGCTGAAGAGGGTTCCCAGGAATTAATGGAAGTCAGGCACATCGCCCCCACTGCCCCCTCAGCACTTTGCACTCTCAGGAGATCAGGAGCCACCTGCCATGCCCAGAGGAGAAAAATCTGACCTGCATCTGCTTTGCACTACACGGTCAGGGCAGGAAGAAAGAACTGTGATCACCTTTGCTTACTCCATTGTTGGGACTAGAGGCAGCTGGATTGAACTCTGTCCTTGGTGGATGTGTTGTGAACCATTTCCTTGGGCCGCATCCCTGTCCCTTCCTGGTCATTTGTACACTTTTCTCATGACCTAAATCTGATCTAAGGAAATGACAGTTGCCAAAGACCCAGCATGAGAGAATCAGATAGGAGGGGTCTCAGGGACCAGCTGATGTGGCTGACCTTCATCACACAGAGGACCCCAATCTCCTCCCAAACCCAGTGAGGGGAAGTGGTTCTCAAGGCACCTCATCCAGCAATCAGCTGCCAGAAGCCATCCTGCTATCTGTCCTAGGACCTGGTCTAATGCTCTCTTCTCTACAGAGAGGAGCCCCAAAGGCAAACCCAGTCCACCGATATATTTCCTTTGGCCCTTTTGGCATTTTTAGAATTTGAATGTTACCAACATTTTTAAAAGAGGGAAATTTCACCTGAATACTTGGACTTTGGCTTGTCTTTGAAAAATTGGAAGATCTGGTGTTCTGGATTCATTTACATACTTACTTGGCCTGCTAAGGCTGTGCCCCTGAGTGTCAGCTTGTTCACAGTCGCACAGACAAGTGGCTTCTCTGAGCTGGAAGCTCTTAAGAAAAGCTCTCCCTCAACCCCAACAAAGCTATCTGTGTGGTAAACCTGGTTTCTCCATATTCTTGATTCCAAATACTCAACTGGAAAGAGCTTTCAACAGGTGGTTAAGAGTCTGCGTTCCCATCCCAGCTCAGCTCCTAATGAGCTAAGCCATTTTGAGGTAGTTGAGCTTGTCGGCTCTGGTTCTCAGCTGTCCCCATTTGTAAAATGAGCAGAGGGTCCAATATGTGGCGATCTCTGGCCTGCGCAGAGTCACTCTCACCAGCTCGGGCACCCACAGAGGGCGCCGCTCTGCCTGG